TGCAAATATAAAGCATAGATGGTAAGTGTTGCATTATTGGTTTTGTGGCAAAGCTGGTGTTATGTATATGAAGCTTTAAGAGCCCTCTTTTTCCTCCTGTGTGTGATTGATGTGCTCTTCTTGGGCTTGCCTCTTCTTGGGGTTGCCCAAAGAAGTGATAAATGCTCCATCCCTGACAGTGTTCAAGGCCAGGTTGGACAGAGCCTTGGGCAACATGGCCTAGTGTGAGGCATTTCTGCCCATGGCAGCAGGTTGGAACTGAATAAGCTTAAGGTCCTTTACAACCCAAACATTTCTATGTTTCTATGATTCTGCACAGCCTTTTGGTGGCAGAAATGTGTCTTCACCTAAGGAGGACAGACAAAAGGCAGGATGTGTCCCAGTTGCCAAGTGCAAGGTCCTGTACTTGGGTCGGAGCAATCCCAGGCACAGCTACAGGTTGGGCAGAGAACAGATTCAGAGCAGCCCTGCGGAGGACTTGGGGGTGTTGGTTGATGAGAAAATGAACATGAGCCGGCTTCAGTGTGTGCTCACAGTGAAGGAGGTGATCCTGCCCCTCTACTCTGCTCTCTTGAGACCTCACCTGGAGTATTGTGTGCAGTTCTGGTGTCCTCAACATAAAAAGGACATGGAACTGTTGGAGCAAGTCCAGAGGAGGCCATGAGGATGATCAGGGACTGGAGCACCTCCTGTATGAAGACAGGCTGAGAAAGTTGGGGCTGTTCAGCCTGGAGAAGAGAAGGCTGCGTGGAGACCTCATAGCAGCCTTCCAGTATCTGAAGGGGGCCTATAGGGATGCTGTGGAGGGGCTCTTCATTAGGGACTGTAATGATAGGACAAGGGGTAACGGGTTCAAACTTAAACAGGGGAAGTTTAGATTGGATATAAGGAGGAAGTTCTTTCCTGTGAGGGTGGTGAGGCACTGGAGTGGGTTGCTCAGGGAAGATGTGAATGCTCCATCCCTGGCAGTGTTCAAGGCCAGGTTGGACAGAGCCTTGGGTGATATGGTTTAGTGTGAGGTGTCCCTGCCCATGGCAGGGGGTTGGAACTGGATGATCTTAAGGTCCTTTCCAACCCTAACTATTCTATGATTCTGTAATTGTCCCAAATGCTCTGCTTGGATAAGAACCTTAAGGTAGTTTTAGCAGTGGCTGTGGTTCATTTACTCACCGTCCCAAGCCTCATATGATTTTAGCGTTATAAAAGCCAATGAGGATATTGTTTTAAGGTATAAGATGCCCTGAGGGCTTTGCTCACTCAACTGTACCGAGGAATTAAATGCTCTCAGGCAGTGCAACAGCCTCATTCACTCCAGTGTTGCAAGGCAAGGCAGTCATCGATGGTAAATGGGCCCGTATTACAGTGACATTAGCATTTTAATGCAACTAAGGAGGAGGCAGATTGACTGTAATTTAGTATCTAGTTGCATGGCCTTGTGCAGGTCCCCTCATCGCTGCTCTGCAGGGGCCGATTATAGTTACTCAGTTCACTTTGGAATCTAATTGGATTTACATGCAGTAATGTAGTCGTGTCACAGCAATGACTCTGCTATGCAAGCGCTATGAAATTCCAGTGCAATTAGTTATTTATATAGGAGCAATAGTTACAGGGTAACTCATGGAGCTGACAGTTTGTGCCAAGCTCCAGTACAGGAGCAGCAAATGTTCTACTGTTTTCTGAAGGCACTGCAAGGGAATGATATTAAGCTGATCCTGCTTCCACAGAGATGTTTCTCCTTACCCTTCACTGTAAAAGCACTGACCTGTTGCACAGGTCCAGCAGGACATGACTTCTGACTTCATCTGTACATATGGGCTGGCATGTGTTTGATTTCTCTAGATCATAGAATCATAGCATGGTTTGGGTTGGAAAGGACCTTAAGATCATCCAGTTCCACCCCCCTGCCATGGGCAGGGACACCTCACACTAAACCATGGCACCCAAGGCTCTGTCCAACCTGGCCTTGAACACTTCCAGGGATGGAGCATTCACAACTTCCCTGGGCAACCCATTCCAGTGCCTCACCACCCTAACAGTAAAGAACTTCTTCCTTATATCCAACCTGCACTTCTGCTGTTTCAGTTTGAACTCATCACCTGCAAATGTCGTGATCAAAGGGGACTGGGAGCAGATAGAGGCACTTGTGAATTAGGACATCTGTAAGCCATTCATCTGGTGGCCTTCCTACTAGCTAATGTGCAGGAGACTGGATTTCTCCCAAAGAAAGGCCATCTTTCACTCTCCATAAATTTCTTGTTTCACTTACTACCTGCTGACTGTCTTACTCTCTTTTTGCCTGCTCCCTCTTCTCTGTGGCTGTCCAACTGTCTGTCTTGTTGCATGAGACCAGCCCGAGTCATGAGTTTATAGAATCATAGAATGGTTTGGGTTGAAAAGGACTTTAGGATCAGCCAGTTCCAACCCCCTACCATGGGCAGGGACACCTTCCACTAGAGCAGGTTGCTCCAAGTCCTGTCCAGCCTGTGCTTGAACACTGCCAGGGATGGGGCATTCACCACTTCTTTAAGCAACCTGTTCGGCTGCTTTTCCTTCATCAAAGCCTGCTTCTCACAAAGAGCAGAGAGTACAGCTCAGTGCCCAGCAAAGAGACATGATGTGGTAGCTGTAAGCTGTGAGGGAGGAGGCAGGACAACGTGCCAAATGCATCTGCTCAGCCAGCTGAGGCAGCGTGGCTTGCACTCCCCAAGGATGGAGGCTTGCTCCAGCTTCCACTGTGTTCCACCAGCGACTGTAATTAAAGGCATCAGCTTGCTCCAGCCCCAATTAGCCACGGTGGTTTTGCACTTTCTGCAATCCTCCCTAATGGCAAAATCGTAGCTATTAACCAAAGAGAGTCTGTTTGGCAGGGACTTCCTCCCCTTTAGGGCCATAGAGTAAGACGGAATATTGCTATTGCTTGGCACCAAGCGCGCTCTTTCATCCCTCCTGACACAGCACCTGCTGGCACCCACTGAAGCATTTAAAGCTCTTCCTCTCTGTGGTGCTGCAATTTCTTTAAAATATTGTGACTTCAGAGGAATAGGAAAAATAAACTTCCTCTCCCACGCAGACCTTTGAGGGCTTGTAGGGATGTAATTATATGCACATGCGGTAGGAATAAGAATCCTATCATTCTGGTTGTTTTCCTAATGACAGGTTTATATGGCGCAGTGTAATCTCTGCTTTAAAGTTAGAGCCATCTTCTCCTGGCAGCAGCTATCTCAGGATAACGGCATCACAGGATGGGGCAACTGAAGATATTGACTCTTAATTGCATATGCAAAGCACAGGAGGAAGTGTGCCCATACACAAAAGAGATAGATAAAGAGGGAAAGGTGGGCACCAAACTGCAAGAAGGGGCTGTGAGGCAGTGACACTGTTCTGTCCTTACTGTAGACTTTCCAAGCCCCTCTCTAGAGGTCCCTGAGCTGGTCACATAGCACCCTCTGAACTTCTACACTGGTGGCAAAGCTGACCTGGGGACGGCCTTCATACACAGCACTGTAATGAAGTGGGGCAATCGAGCAACTGCTCAGCAGATGCCTTCAGTACTTAGCAGCAGAGACTGGGTACAGATGTTTGGACCCTCCAGATTCCAAAAGGGAAGCCATCCCTGCTCATCATTCAGGGTTTAGGTCCACAGCGAGAGAGGAAGGACACAAAATGTGAGGGATTAATGCAAAACAAAGACGTCTATGAATATTCATTATATGGTTTATATTGTAATAGTTTCAGCTGCCTTGAAACTGTGTTCGCCTCCTGCCAACAACAAACGATAGACTTTTACTCACAGAAGCCTTAATGGGAGGCAATTTTCCAAGGCACATTCACAAATGTTTGTGGGAAACAGATGTTAAATGCACCTCCTCCAGAAATGATGAGGAAATACTGGCAGTGGGAGAGCAGGGATAGACCCAGGTGACTTATCTGAACCCTCACAGGGATGCAGTGGCTTCAGCAAAGCAATCTCTGAAGGATGAGTGAGTTACAGTGCTGAGCGACTGTGAGTGAATCATAGAATGGTTTGAGTTAGAAAGGGCCTTAAGATCATCCAGTTCCAACCCCCTGCCATGAGTAGGGATGCCTCACATTAGACCATGTTGCCCAAGGCTCTGCCCAACCTGGCCTTGGACCCTTATGACATGGGGTGCTCTTTGAATAGATAAAAGATGCCTCCTCCCCACAGGCTCTGCAGTATTGGATGGGTGGAAAAACCAACCTGGGAAAGGATGCCCTGAGGAACCATCAGTCAAACGAGCATGTTAGTCTGTAATCCCACCTCCCTTTTACCAAGCCAGGGTTTGTCATTAGCATTGTGCAGGCAGAAATTAAAATGTATTGATAAAATGGGAACTTCTAGCTCAAGGGCAGTGGCTGTGTGCACCCAGGTCCTTATGCCTGTGCTGCTTTATCTAATGACTTTGGGTAGGCAATGCAGTGGCTTCACCATTCCTCTCTATTGCTGCTTCCCAGGCAGTGACAATGAGGCAGAGGGAGAGAAATGGTTTGCTCAACTTGTCATGAGAGCTGGCTGGAAGAACAAGGAACAGTGCCCAGTGTCTCAGGCCGTTGCTCCTAATGGCTGGGCTGGGCTTCCCAAAGATGCATTCCAACTCCCTTCCTATGCCTTTTCCATTTTCCTGCTAAATGGGCTATCAAATCACAGCAGGTTAAAGTTTGTCTAAACCTCCTATAAAATATTGAAGGCGCAGCTGGTATTAATCTAGTCCTGTTGTGGTATGAGGTGCGTGTGTAATGGGACTATAGATTTAAACGTGGTATGTGGGCTTTTAAAACACCCCAAAGGATGTTAAAGGGATGCTGAGGAATCAGATCCCTCACTGGGTATTAAAAGCTCTTCATTAGTGCTAATGTACACTAAATTAAGGTGGCAATTAGACTGAGCATATTCATCAGGATGGTGTGTTTTAATAAATTGTGTATTTAACATGATTGCATTTTATTGACTTCTGCAGTAATTGTGTATTTTTCTCTTCCAGGAGAAGCTTGGTTAGAAGGAGATACATGGGACACACAGAGAATTAAAGAGTAGAAGAGACACCGTGCTTCAAGTCCCAAGATTTGTGAAGGTGAGTCTTGATTATGGCTCTTTCTTTGTGCTTTCTTTGTATTTCTGTCAAGGATGGTTAGGTGTGAAGGAGGGGAGTAAGAAATGCACATCTCATCTGCCCTCATATCATCTGCAAGATGTACTGCAACAAATTGTCTGCCTTTGGTGTCCTAAATAAACTGCCCCATCTCTGTTCTACCTAGAGGAGCAGATTTTGTGGAAATGATGCTCTGAGGGGGTTTGTGGAAAGCACCAGCAGTTAGATGTTTCCATAGCAGACCCCAGTTTAAAGGAGGTGGATACCCCGGCAGACAGCGAACCCAGAAATCCTATTGGAGTGAGCAGCTCCATGAAAGGAGGCAAACATGATGAGTCAAGCCTCCTTACCTTCAAGCTAAAGGGTGGGTTTCCATGTTGTTCGGTAGAGAACATTGTGGAGCAATGCTAGGTTTTGGTGGTCCTTCGCCACCGATGCAGCTTACAGCTTCAGGGATGCTTCTAGTGACATCTCAGCTGGGACAGCCTCTAAAAATTGATGCTTTGACTTGAAGAGAATCTAGTCTATATTTTCTAATTCCTTTATAGGCTCTCTGGAGAGCTTCAAACACGTCTTCTGCTTTTACCTGGTTGCACTCTATGAATATGAAAGTAGGTGTGAATTAGCACCACTTGTTCCTCAAGCCTTTGGCTACAGGAGGTACTACAGAACTGGTTCTTAGGTTTTAAAGGAAGCAACAGATCAGTTCAATGCACACGGTATCCATGCATGTTGGATAATAATGCATGTTGGATAAATATCTCTTTGCCAACATGCATATCCATGCATGTTGGCAAAGAGATATTTATGTCAAAGAAGATGTACATGGACAATGTGATAGAAGTGACTGAAAAAGGGGTGAGGGGTGGACAAGGTGACATCTAGACAGCTCTTCCAATCTTAGTTATTCTGTGATTTCTATCAGGTATTTGAAATGGGGAGACTCTGACGAGCTATCAGGCAAGTGCACCATGCCTGAATTTTAGGGGTTTAAACCCATTTAACCCTGGGGTTAAACCACAACAGTAGTGGAATACAAATAGTCTGCAGAGGTATGTTAGGGGTGGGTATTATGTGGTTGGAATGGTAGGCAAGGAAAATGGTTCACATCCTTCTTTTCAGTAGAGAGTAGGAGAGATATGAAAGATGAAATGATTTAGACTGATGAAGATAAGGTGCTCTTGAGAGTCCTGATAGACTGGCACATCCGAGGGGTGCTCTTGTTCCTTTTGCACAAGGTAACTTGGACATACCTTGGAGGCTCTGTCTTGAAAAAGCTTTTTCCAAGGAGGGTGATTACACATTGTAAGAGGTGCCCGGGGAGATGGGAGAATCTCAGGCTTTGGAGATGCTCAAACTAATATTACTCTGAGCAACTTGCTGTAACTAAAGTTGGGATTGGCCCCCGGTTGGTGGCAGTGGGTGCTTGTACTCAATGCCATCCAGAGTCACTGCTCCTTTGCCATCTCCAGCACAATGGAGCAATTGAAGTGAAACCAGGGGGTTCAGTCCAGTGTGAAAAGGATATGGTGGAAGAGGGAAATGTCAGTGGTAGCAAAGAGAAACTTGGAAGCAGTTTTGAGGGGTGCGGTGGAGCAGCTGCCTTTGGATATGTGAAGTTCAAGGTAGCTGCAAAAGCAAATGTCAGAAGGAAGGAACTAAATGGTGGCTGGAGGACAAAAACGTGCGTTGCCTTGAAAAACTAGGCTGTATTCCTAACTGATTACAGCAGCTGGGGTATGTTTCCTGGCTACCCTGCTGGGGATTTTGAGCCTCCTCATCACTTTGCGAGATAAAACTCGTATTAGGAGGGTGAAATGTGTAATAATCTGCCTAAGAAAAAGCTGAACATTTATAGCTACATTTCAGACAAAAACAAATGCATCTCATGTGTCTCGCAGGTCTGAGATGGGACAAGCCAGAGAAAGCATCTGTCAGCCGCTGTCTTCTGCAGTTCTGGCTGTTAATGTTTGCTTAGCATTAAATGTCTCCTGTGGAGGAGAACTTAATCTGTCACAAATTTGGGGCTTGGAGGAGGGGGAGAAGGTATTTTTAAGAGGTGGATTAAGACATATGCGTTTGGGTTTTATCGCACTTGCATCAGCGTGCTGTAGGAGTAACTGTCAAGATTTGCCTTTTGTGTGTACGGCTTAGAAAGAAAAGTGGAAGGAAGAAGTAGCTCTGTGGGTCAGGATTCTCCTTTCATGTCAGCTATTTTCTCCATGCAGCCTGTCACTGGGGACTTGAGGTACCTTCAGCTAATTAGAAAAGCAGCAGTTGACACAAGGGGATTCATAATTACACTATTAGTAAGTAATGTTATTTGCATTTTGCTTGTGTTGATTGTAAATGGCATTAGTTGCATACTCTCCAAAGTCTACGGCATATATGAACTAGATGGTAATATATTTCGTGTACCCTGGAGTGATTGAGTTCTGACAGTAAACAGATTTAAACCCTACAAAAGAGGTCAGATCATGCTTTTGATTAATTTGCCCTGTTTTAATCAGTGCAATCACAGGATCCAAATGGTGATCTTGCAAGTGCTGTTTGGGAATCTGGATACCCATCAGAAACTGAAAAGCGTGTGTTATGCTGGGATGTGTGTGTCTCTCCAAGCTCGAAGTTCCAGCACTGAAACAGATGCTCAGAGCTCCTGTTTCTCAGATCAGATCAGTGGGTTGACATATTCTAGTAGTTTGCACTGAGCTGTTATGATGTGGAAGCTCTGACGTGCGTGTTCTTGGCTTTGCCAGCCCAGACCTTGCTCTATTGCCACTGACTTCCATTTGCACATCCTGAGTTGAAGGACCCTGGGATTTGTAAGCCCCATGGGGTGCGTTCCTGGCTTGAAGCGCTTCACAATTAGCAGGGTTTCACTTAGTTGTTGCTTTGCTGTGTGAAATGGGTTTAGAAATTATGTATCTGAGCTCAACACCACCAATGGGGACAATTTCTTGCCCAGGCAAACAAGGGAGTCCTCAGTTATCAAAGCTGAGTGTGTCTGTGTTCATCCTGCTCCCACGTTACTATGACATGGGCCTGCCACAGAAGTTTGCTCAGTGGATTTAGAGTCTCTTTTCCCTTCTCATGCCTAGAAAACATTTGTCATACTGAGCGGGTGCATGGGCAGAAGCAGTGCAAGGAATCATAACTTAGGTTTGTCTTGGAAAAGAAAAGGAGGCCTGTACTAAATCAGAGCAGCTCCAAGGGAGCTTGCTCATCTTGCAGAGGAAGCAGACCCAGACACGGAAAGTAAAGTAAGGTGGGAATGTGATTTATCGACTCTATAAAGCAGCAAGACAGCGTTGGGCTCAGGCGCTGCTGCTTCTTGGACCACAGGCAATGTTTTTCATGTGGGTGCCTCAGCAGTGAGATGAGTGTGAATGATGTGAAGTGGCACAATATGGCTCAAGTGCTTTGCTTTTCAGTCCTTTTATGCCTAAGGCTGCTGTGATATGGATCATATGGTGGAGGATCAAGGCAGCAGGACTTATTAGTTCAGCAGGACTTATTAGTTTCTCAGATAACTTTCAGGCTTAGCCATCCTTTGTTTCACTGGAGCATAACTGTTCGTGTGTGTGGTGATGGGAATATATGGGTGCCACTAACTGTGGGGCTCTTGAAGTTCTAGCATCCTATTGATGTGTCTGTATTTCCATATTGCTCTCTAATACAGTCTCCAAGCTCATGGGTTAGGGGAGCTGAAGGTTCACCTTTTCCATGAAACTGAAGAATTCTCCCCCACAGCTCCTTACCCTTCTGGACTTAAAGATAGAATCATAGAATCACAGAAGCATAGAATCATAGAATAGTTAGGGTTGGAAAGGACCTTAAGATCATCCAGTTCCAACCCCCCTGCCATGGGCAGGGACACCCAACTCTAAACCATGGCACCCAAGGCTCTGTCCAACCTGGCCTTGAACACCGCCAGGGATGGAGCATTCACAACTTCCCTGGGCAACCCATTCCAGTGCCTCACCAGCCTCACAGTAAAGAACTTCTTCCTTATATCCAATCTAAACTTCCTCTGTTTAAGTTTTAACCCACTACCCCTTGTCCTATGACTACAGTCCCCAACGAAGAGTCCCTCCCCAGCATCCCCATAGGTCCCCTTCAGATACTGGAAGGCTGCTGTGAGGTCTCCAGGCAGCCTTCTCTTCTCCTTTCTCTATGAGGTTTGCAGACATGGCTTTAAACACCATCAAAAAGCTGTGGGCGCCTCTTCCAGGCTCATGCCAGCGCTCTGTGCCCCACTCCATCTACTGCAGTTGTGGCTTTGAGTCTCTCTGGGCAGAAGAGTTGTGTATCATCAGAGGCAGAAGAAAATAAACTGTAAAGAAAAATACTGCTTTTGTTCTGTGGTTCAGATTTGTGTTTCTCCAGAAGCGAGGTGGACTGTAAGCCTGGCTTTGTGGACCCTCTGTGGAAAGGGAGCTGCGCGTGCTGGTGGACAGCATGCTCAAGATGAGTGAACAGAGTGCTGCTGTGGCAAAGAAAGCCACCAGGATGCTGGGTTACATCAACAAGTGTCTCACCAGAAGAGACAAAGAAGTCATCATCCTACTCTACTCAGAGTTTGTCAGGCCACACCTGGAATACTGTGCTCAGTTTTGGTCCCTGCTATGCAGAAACAGGATGTGGACAGGCTGGAGAGGGTCTCAAGAAGGGCCACAAAAGATGATCCAAGGACTGGGAAGCCACATGAGGAAAGGCTGAAAGAGCTAAGCTTGTTCAGCCTAGAGAAAAGGCTCAGGAGAGACCTTATCACCATGTTCCGGTATCCAAAGGGTGGCTACAAAGATGCTGACTCATTTTTTACAAGGAGTGACATGGAAAAGAGGAGGGATGATGGGCACAAGTTACTCCTGAGGAGATTCCAATTGGATGCAAGAGGAACATTTTTCACAATGAGAACAATCAGCCACTGGAATAATCTCCCCAGGGAAGTAGTGGATTCCCCAGCACTGGACACTGTTAGGATTTAGCTGGACATGGTGTTGGGACATCATGTCTAGGTCATGGTCTTGCCAAGAAAGGTTGGACCAGATGATCCTTGAGATCCCTTCCAACATGATATTCTATGATTGCTTCTATTATATCCTCAGGATTCTTCTAGCTAAGGGAATCCCCTGAGAGGTGCCCAGCCAGCAGAGCATACTGCTGTCCTGCCCCAGGTACATGCAGACGCGGAGAGAAAGCAGCTGCATGTCCACAGGAGACACTGTGTCGCACCATTTGCACCTCTGCCCATTTTGCCAATAGGAAGGAACTGATTTGATTGCCACCCAAGTCAAGCGCAGCAGACACACACTGTGATAGAAACCTGGCTTCTGCCTCAGGCAGCCCCTTTCTGGGAGCTCTGCCTGCCATTGGTTTTCTTAGCTTTTAGGCTAAAGCAGAGCAGCTCCCATCACAGAGGGAAGCACCCCACGAGGCTCGACAGCATTCACAAGGTCTGTGGATTAACAAAACAATGAAGGAGTGAAAAGAGGAGTTTCATTTCTGACCTGGTGAAAACCTTGCGTAGTTTCTGCTTTTTCTTTCAGTGAATCGAATGTACTTTACTAACATAGCATATCACTGGATGCGGATCTATTTAGGGAATGGCATTTGCAGTGGAGAAAGGGAAAGAGATGGGTTCGGAAGCATGTGGGCTTTGGGAAGGCTTCTCTAAGGAGCTAAGCAGACTTGTGCTTCTGTGTTTGCGAATGTATGCATCCATCTGTGCATGGTGCCATGACTGCATTATCTTCTGTTTCAGTCATGGTGTCATGACTGCATTATCTTCTGTTTCAGTCAAAGTTTTACTGTTTCATGTATTTGTTTGTCTGTCCCTTTAGGGTAGTTGATGACTTAATTGGATATTGGGAGACTTCATCAAACAGGAAGCAGCACTTTCTTCATATGTACCCCCACCTGGTCAGGATTTATAGCTGCTCTTCCAATAGGAGTACTGTCCTAAGCAGTTTGTTGTCTAATTCAGACATGGGGTTTCAAACTGGTTAAGATTCCTTAGCATTTTTCCTGGTCTTAAAAGCTTGCCAATGTCAACCCATGGGCTCTGCCTGCAAAAGACCTGTGCGGGGTGCATCATAATTTCACTGCACAGTCACAGTGCATGGTGTGCCCCAAGCTGAGTAACTGTGTGAGGACAGCATCCTCAGGCCCTCCCACATCCACACAGTGCAGTTGTCCCAGCCCAGCATCTCCAGATGTCAAGTTTCATGTTTGAGTGGCATTCATTCTGTGGAGGAAGCTTGTATGGAGCTAACTATCCCGGATGCTTGTGAGTCTTTTAAATGGATATAGCTTATTCTGGCTTCTGTGTCAATATGACCTGTTTTGTTGTGATGTGGGCAGGTTCATTCAATGCTTCTTAGACTTGACAGGCTCTAGGGACTGGGAAAAATAATATCTTATGTGCAGAGGGGTATTTTTTCCCTCAGCATCTTCCTCTGCAAGCAAAGCTAGACTTTTCCTCTCCTGCAACCCTCCTCTTCATACCTGTGTTCACCTTTAGACCTGGAAGAATGCAAAGGGACTTAGCCATGATCATTATCTCTTACTAGCCTGTGCTATGTTGCCTTGTTCAGGTAAGAAATGAGCTTTTCTGTGTAATGAACTCCGCAGGACCTTGGAGGAAGTATGAGTGGAGACAGGATTTTATCACTGTAATAGTAAATGAGTGTGCTAAGGGAGTGTTGATGTTTTGCAGGAAGAATTGGGTCAAGGAGCCTGAAGACCATGGAGGGAGACTGCCTGAGCTGCATGAAGTACCTGATGTTTCTTTTCAATTTCTTCATATTTGTAAGTATTTAGAACCCACTTTCTCTCCTGAATCCTCCTGTTTTGAGCAGCCTGCTGCTCCCCAGCAGGACAGGCTGTAACCTGGTCACATCATCACAGTACAGAATGTCCCCTCAGCTTTGCACTAGCAATCACGGAGGGTTTTGCCGCATCCAAAGATGCTCAGACATTCTGCAAGCCAGTGCTGTGGTCACTGTTGTTTGAGTTATTCCTGTCCTTGGCAAGGGAGACCAGAGGGAAATCTGTAACTGGTGGTGTACATGGATCTATCCTGGAATGGCAGAACTGTTTTCTAGTCCTGGACACCCTGCTGAGGTTTTCACATTGGAAACACAGTTGTTTTCCTGGTTTTCACATGGAAACACAGTTGTTTTCCTGGTTTTCACATGGAAACACAGTTGTTTTCCTGGTTTTCACATGGAAACACAGTTGTTTTCCTACCATGCATTGGGTCATTCTCTGTCACCCTATTGCTCTAGTCTGTGACAAGAAGGGTGGGAGCACCCAGCCACCTTGGCTTCTGTGGTGGCAATGGTTCATGTGTGCCCCTTCGCTGGGCTGCTGCTTACAGATAGTTGCTCTCTACAACCACCTGAAAGGAGGTTGTAGTGAGGTTGGAGTTGGTCTCTTCTCCCAAGGAATAAGGGATGGGACAAGAGGAAACAGCCTCAAGCTGCACCAGGGGAGGTTTAGATGGAGCTGAGGAATGATTCCTTCCCCAAAGGGTGCTCAGGTGTTGGAACAGGCTGCCCAGGGCAGGGCTGGAGTCACCGTCACTGGAAGTGTTCACAAAGTATGTACACAAGGTCCTCAGTGCCATGGGGTAGTGGTGGCCTTGGCAGTGCTGAGATTGGACTTGAAGGTCTTAAACGTCTTTTCCAACCTGGTTGATTCTATGATTCTATGGGGCAGCAGCACAAGGTTCAGTCTTTCTACATTAGGGAGGTTGTAAACAGCTGGTAGTGACTTGTCAAGGAAGGTGCTTTTGCTGCAAATGGTCATTTAGTGAGCAAGAGATAGCATATCAGCAATCACCTTCTGAGTGGAGAATATATGCCACCGAGAAACAGAAGCTCTCCAAGTGAACACTTCTAATCAAAACATAGCAATGAACCCAATTTTCCTGCATCAGTTGTTTTACGTTGACCTATGTCTCTCTCCTTGTGCCATGACAGCTGGGAGGAGCGTGCCTGCTGGGCCTTGGGATCTGGGTCATTGTGGATCCCACAGGCTTCCGAGAGATAGTAGCTGCCAACCCCCTGCTCTTCACGGGAGCCTACATCATGCTGGCTATGGGAGCCATGCTCTTCCTGCTGGGTTTCCTCGGCTGCTGCGGTGCCATCCGTGAGAACAAATGCCTCCTGCTCTTTGTAAGTCTCTGTTGGCCTTTCGGAATGGGGGTGACTGAATAGATGATGCTGTGATAAGTGCATGAAATGGGTGTCTGTTATTGTAGCTGTTATTTCCTTAGATAGTAAATAGGCTTTGGGTACTTTTGCACACAGCTAGAAATACAGGGAATTTTCTTTTTCCCTGTACCAGATTTGAGCCCAGTGGCTATGGAGTCTGGGAGTGTATTTGACCTTGTTAAGCTTTGTTTCAAAACGTTCCTATTTGGTTGTTTGGATTTTCCTTTTATTTTTATAAAGTGACCAAAAATGGTCCTTTCTTGGCCACCCAAACCCCACTGCTCCACTTGTGGATTCATTCCTCAGCGGTTCACAGCAAAGCAGAGAGAACATGTAGAGCATCTGTGTAACAGAGCCCCCATGTCAGCAAAATGAGCAGCTCAGAACCACATGGTGGTCTGTCACTGCAGCTCTCAATAACTGGTTGCTCCCTTATGCAGCCTATTCTGCTCCTAAAACGTACCAGATTTGTTCTCTTCAGGCAGATTTTCCCCTGACTGATAGGGTTAAATTCCATCCCTTGTGGTCATCAAATAATATTTCCAAATAAGCCTCTAAAATAAGTCACTTTTGACCTCTACCATAAGTTCTGATACTGCAGGGTTTTCAGCCATTATCTCTTACTGGAAGACATTACAAGTTCCGTGTTGAAAGACAAAAATCATCAGGTTTACTTTGCATGACCTTCTGCTTCCCCATCTGGGTCTGTTGGGTGTTGGGGCTTTGGGTTTTTGCTTGTTAGGGGTTTTGAGGGGGTTGGTTTTGTTTTGTTTAAATCTTGATCTTATGGTGTTTTGCTATGGTTGTATCTTGCATAACAGCTTCATGGTGCAAAAGAGACTTGTGTCTAAACAGAAGAGGAAAGTTCTCTTTCTGGAATGCAAACCCATTCTTTCCTAGAGATAAGCATGGCTGCACTGAAGGAATTCTCTATGGCCTTTCGCTCACCCACACCTTGAATTCATAACCTGCAAATGAGAGCCCTGTTCTGGAAGCCATTGTGGCTTGATTTAGTGCCTCACCTCACAAGTAAATCAGCAAACCAAATGTGCCTGTGAGGTTAGGAAGATCTGCCCAGAGGAACCTAGTAACACGCAAAGGATCAGGCACAATAAGCCAGAGGTTACTCCAAAAGCCTGTCCCTGTCAGATTAAGAAACTAAAAGTTATGTTTGATGACAAGTATTGATTGAAAGTGAATGGGAGTGTAATATTTTCAGCTTGGACCATGTCCACTGCATATAGACTGGCTGGAGGAAGTTCTCTCCTGATTTAACATCACAGAGTTGCATCATGGTTTGAATGGTCCTTCTGGTGCTTTTAGTTATACTCCAGTGCACTCAGTTTTGTGGTTCTGATTGTTAGAGATAGTCCTTATCCCTGCTGCTTTATCTATTTACTTTTGCTATTATTTTATACTTGGACTGGGAGAAATACATGGGCTGAAAGCAATGCCGTGGACTAGGAGAAACTCTGAAAGTAGTTACTGGATGAGGAGTTGGTGTTCCACCTTGATCAGTTCTTCCAGAGCTTCTGGCATGGCAGAGAGGTTGGAACTAGATGATCTTAAGGTCCTTTCCAACCCTAATGATTCTATGATTCTATGATTCTATGGTATCGAAGTCAACTTGTTAAACAACAGCAGTGATGCCCTCGGTCAGGGATCTGTGCTGATACCAAGTGAAAGAGATATCCTGCTTTTTGGGGGACCACAACAGCTGATGTTAAAATGCATAAAGCACCTGTGAAACCAGAAGTCTGATGCGAGTAAGTTGTAGGGTTTGAAAAGGCAAACCATTCATGAGCATGGAAACACCCTGTGAAGCGGAGAGTGTGAGGCTTCAGGGGGGTGGTACTTGGGGGAAAAGTTGCTAGATCAAATCAAGCCCACTTACAAAGTTGTTAAGGAATTGATGAGCCAGAGAGCTGCTTGAGTGAGATTTCACAGCGATGCATAATGCATGTCTGAAGCTTTTAGTCCAAATGTAAACAGGAGATAGAAGGGACACGACAGATGCGCAAATGCGTGTTCTCTAGGTTCTGGCTTCTGTGCCTGCAAGAACTTGTATTTTAAATCAAGCTGCTTGTCTCTTGGTACAGAAGCATCACTGTGTAACCTAACATGTTGCATTAAGCACAAGGCTGTGAAGTTTCTAGATTTCCCAGCATTTGGACTTGGCTCGTGAAAAGCAGCAAACGTTGGCCTGCAAATCACACATTGAGTAACTTCTAGATTGTCCTCAAGGCCTTCTGACTGCAAAAGAACACCATGAAAATCAGAAACTAAAGTGCTGTTGAGCATACAACATTATATCACAGGACTGATTCAGCTTTGCAGCAAGAACCGTCCATATTAATTTCATTTGTCTTAGTTTTGACTGCATGTATCCTGATTCGCACTCTTGTAATCTGGATGCGGTAGCCCCTGAAACTTTATCAGCATGAAAATGTGGGTCTTTTGGGTTAAAGGCTGTTGCTGCTTTTTGTGGAACAGCATTGGAGAAACTGGAGCAGTAGATGAGATGTGAAAAAGAATCATGAAACACTGATTTTGGGGAACATCTGATAAACCTACAACCATCACCAGGAGCTGAGGCAGGAGTGTTGACCAACATGCAAGACCCCACTCCTCAGGAAGTTTACCTTGCATGTGGGGGTTACCCATGTTCAAATGTTGGGAATTCAGCATGAATTTGAACGTGAGGCTGTTGTGTCCCACACATTAACCAGTTGGCTATTTAGTGCTCTCATCCATCAGTAATCAATTTAATTTTGGGAGGCAAAACAAAATAAGCAGATTTTGACTCTCATTAAAATGCAGAATAAGAGCAAGTTCTGAGACACTGATGATCCATCTTCTTTTTCTCATCAGCCCTAATGGCTGCTCATGTCTTTTCTACAGTAACGGTTATAAATCTGTAGTGCAGACTGCACAATATAAGTGTAAATCAGTTTGGAAATGATAATGAAGCTTATCAGAGATAGTCTGGGAGTAACTGCTTCCACTTCTTCACAGACCTGAGCTGGAGCTTGGGTGAACATGTGTCTCCCAGTAATCAGTAAATGAAATGCAATTAGCAAGGTGATGGGATTAATCACTTCATGGCCACCTTAGACCTCTTTGTGACTACGCTGAGATCCCTTGATGGATGATGATGTGAATTTGCAAAGCATCCTTCATTCTCATCACTTGTTCTTTGCCCTCCTGTGGTGAAATTAAAACAGTCTCTGAGCAGGAAGAAAAGAAACCACACAGAAAACTCCAGCAGCAAGAATAAATTAGAGAGTTAACTAGTTCAGCAAAATCAAGCCAACAGCATCCTGTTAGCAACCCAAGTCCCTGCTCATCTGACTCTTCTTGTTTTGTCATCGGAGTCCAGGCTCCTTTTCTTTTGTTTTCCCTGCAGAAGCAGGTACATAAATGGGACAGGATGGTGCGTGCACTTTTCCAGCGTGGAAAAGTCACAGTCCTGATAATTGACAACAAAACAACACTTTGCCCATTTCAAGCAGGTCTTTTGAATTCTCTTTCCATTACCAAAATGCAGAGTGCACAGTATTTCAGACAATGTTTATAAATCATTGCTTGGGGATCACAATAGTACTTCTGGCCCCATCTGCCTGCCTTCTGTTTCAGAAAGACCTTTAATAACCTTCTCATGTACACAAAAAAAACCCATCCAGGCTTCTCTTGTGTTCATTTCTACTTGTTGCTTCAACCACCTTCACTGGTAACATATACTGTGCGTATGTTGCCCTCCATGTGATGTTGTCTTTATTCTCTGTTCACTCCTGGTTTCCTCACATGGTTCCAAAACCTGAGTTCATTTCTGAACATTCACTCAGCTTTGTAAAATCATCTTCGAGTCTGTGGGTAATTCTTGGGATCCTTGAATATAGAATCACAGATGGTGATTTCTCCTTTATAAGAACATAAAAACCTGCCCATCTAGTTCAGATTTATGGTTCCTCAAGCCCACTGCTTTGTCTCCAAGAACGGAAATGAATGCCATTGTGGGATAGGATAGAGCCTAGCCACTTTCTGCTCTGTTCTCATAGGTGCTCCTCAGCACCCATAGTTGTTTTAAGGTCTTAGAGGGCACATCCCTGCCTATTCCTTGTACTGTTTCTTATGGACTGCAGAAGCATGAAACTAGCACAAGGCATCAATGCAACAGTGCGCTTAATGTAAGGATATGAATATGCACACTATGGATGCTATACAAGACATGGATGATATTTGCATAATCGAATTAAAATTATGACGGCATGTTATGAACTTTTTGGAGAGGTTCTGTGTGGTTAATACTTAACTCAGTGCAACCCCATTGTGTGGAGAGGGATATTAATCAAGGGAAATCTTGTCCTGAAATGTAGAATACTCTGAAAAGAGTCCATTTTTGGTCAAAGATGTAAATAATTATGTTCCACTACCTCCTTCCATACACAATGAGCTATGATTGTATTACAGTAAGATTGTTTACGTTGTAGTGATGGGTGTGTGTGCATATGTAGGTATACGCTTGTGATGCATACATCTGTGTCAGCACAATTTAACACTGTATGAGCATCTACACAATCATATTACTTTTTCCATCCCAGTAGGCTTTACTGTTTTAACCTGGTACACATTTATTATTGGGAAGTGCCATGTGGCCTGTAGTCTTACTCCCTTTCATCCATTAGAGCCAGGCAAAAGCATCCCAAATCCCACATCTTGTGACAGCAGAGAGGGGCTGTTTCTGCTCCAGGTTACCTACTCATAGGGGTTTTTTAATTCTCAGGGAAAAAAAGTTTCCTTGGTTATTTGGGGTTGGAACTAGATGATCTTAAGATTCCTTCCAACCCTAACCATTCTGAGTCTATTTCTTCCATCTCTTTGGTGACTAGCAAACCCCTGTGTTCCTACTACCTATTGCGAGCACCTAATAGTATGATATGTTTGGTTGATTTGTATTTCGTCTTCTCTCTTCCAGTTCTTCATGTTTATTTTGTTAATCTTCCTGGCGGAGCTTTCAGCTGCTATCCTGGCTTTTATCTTCAGAGAAAATGTAAGTACCCAATGGTGGGCGAACTCTGGACCCCAGTGGGGTTGTACGCAGCTGGAGATGCTGTTAGATGGTGGCTGATTGTTTGTAGAGCTACTGTTTGCTTTAAATACCAACAAACCTGTTTCATTCCTACCCTCAGTGTGCAGAACTGCCAGCAAGCCAGTGAATACTAACTAACCTGAGGTACACAGGGTGGATGGTTTATGTACAAGGGAGATACACATTGAGGGACCACTTAAATCCTGAAGATTTTAGTCTTCCTGCTTCTTCTGCAGCCAAACCAGCTGCACATTCCACCAGAGAGGCTTATTATAAAGTCACACTAAGGTTAAAGCAAACTCTTTCATTTTTTCAATATAGCACGTGTTTAATATTAATACTAATAGTGAAACCTGCTGTTTTCCCAACAGAGCCAATGCTCATTCTGCAGTGTAAAAAAAATTCCTCTTGTTCATCTTCTAATCATATTCCTTCTTGAACTTTCATGTTCTGGTGCTCACCAGATTCCCCTCAGGACTGCTTGAGATAGATAATAAGATATCCCTTCTGATATCCCTGCTTGAGATAGTAAGATATCCCTCCTGACTTGCCCTGAGCAAGTCTCCCCATGTCCCATTCTGAGCCCCATCAATGGATCCCCTGCATATTGCCCTGCTTACAGGTTTCTGGTTCTTCTCTCCGCAGATTTCTCTATTCTGCTTCTATGCATATTATTACATGACCATTATCCCTTCCCAATGCTAGTAGTAAGCTTTTGCTACACTACTAGTAAGCACAGTCTCATTTGTTTCTCTAACCAGCAAAGGTTTGTGCATTTTCCTCCTGTTCCCACATGTGAAAGAAGAGCCTGGTTGAAATAGATCCATGCTTCCCAAGTCAACCCATCTTTGCAATATGACTGAGTGATGGCCATGGCAAAACGGTGACAGGTAGAGATGGTCACTACTGACTGTTAGTATTTATTTTGTTTATTTGGCCTCTATCAGTAGTGAAAGAACATACAGCATTTTCCCTGTACTGAAGAGGACAGAAATGTGGCATGAGCATAGAAGGGCCATGTACAATGATGCCTTTCTTGAGTTGGGATATACTTTATGAGAAGATTTGATAGGCAAATAATTGAGGACCCAGGAAGCTGAGAGCAAGACAGCATGGAAGGTAGTTGGAGAAGAAACTGGTCAAGCTGGAGGCGAGCCTGTGTGAAAGGTGCTGCAGGGCTGCTTGTGTCCTCCTCCCTCAGTCACATCTTGCTTCTGGGCAAAGCATCAGCGCCTTCCATGGGAGCTGTGGGACAAGTGAGGATATGTTATCTTGCACGATAAGGTCATGGTGCTTATTCTAGACTTCTGTGGCAGCTGGCAGTGTTTTGTGAGAGAAAACTTGAAGGAGAACAAACTCCTATCTTTCTTGAGCTCGACTCCCTGTTTGTGTCACCAGCTTCCCACTCTGTCAGAATGACTGACAGGAAGGGCTTAAAAGGGAAGGAATGAAGAGCGTCAAATCCCAACATAGCTGGGGATGGCTCTGTGCAGAAGTTACACTCAGCCTGCAGATTCTTGTGGCTTGTTCTCTTCTCAGGTTTCTTCTGAAAAGTAAAACAAGCCCGACCCTTTTTCCTGTGTATTTTCGTGGTAGCTCTTTGGACTTGGTTATTACTTGGGGCTAATTTTGCTGTCATCTTTGGGTTAGGGTGAGGCTAAATGGCTGGACAGAATGTCCGTGGAGATAGAGGTGGTCTTTCAGTGACCCCATGACGGAAAGGATTCTTCACAGTAGCAATTTAAGGTCAAGTTCAGATGTGCTTTTCCCTGTGGAATGTGTTACTTTCAAAGTGTGTGGTGGTAAATACATACTCAGGAACTGTAAATTTCTTGGAAGCTTAGCAAGTGGGTTCCTGTGATGGTCATTGCATGAGTCCATATGGCTGTAGCCTCACTGCATGCATAAAATGAGGCAAAAAAGGGAAGACTTGCTCTACCTCTTCACTTTCCAGATGATGTTTGGTGCAGCTTTCTCTTGTACAGGGTTTTACATCCGAACCAGCTGCCAGACACTCAACAGTGTTAAATTATTAATAGCTGAGGGAGCAAAAGAAATTAAGAAGCAAAAATAAGGGAGAAAGGAGATGTTTTCTGCTGAGATTTGACATGAGAGGAAGAGTCAATGAAGCAGTGTGGTGGTGGGGTGAGCCAAAGTGATGCTTGTGATAGTGAGTTGCTGTGATCTACAAGTCTATTTGCACTCCTAAAGAACTGTTTAAAAGCAGTCTCTGAAGAGACAGGCTGTTGTTAACCAGCTATGGGAATACCAGAGTTTCTCTTCCTTTGTAAAGGAGGTTTTGGAGGGTGGAGAACTCTTTTCCATCTAGAAAGACCCCTCTTAAAGTAAGGCCTTCCATGAACAATAGAGAGATGCTAGGAAAGAGCAATTTGACTTATGTACAGGAGCTGCTCTTTATATGTTTTCAGAGGTTTGGGTGGAAAAAACCCTAGAGGAATATTTGACTCTTAGTGCATTGTCTTAGCAAGCTAGCAAGCAGAATGGTACGAACAGATGAGTCCAGTGGCAGGGCTCTGGATGGAGTCAGGATGCTTGACAATAAACGAGTCACTTTGGTTCCTGCTACCTCAGTTTCCTCAGACATAAAGCAAAAACTAAAGAACATGAACCATCCATCCCTCAGCTGGGCAGCTGGAAGTCTCTGGGATGGAAAGCAATGTGGAAGTGAGAAGTGCAGCACTGGTGGCAGTACCTACAGTAGGAGCACTGTACTGTGCAGAAGCGTGAGGATGCTCCAGGCAGGTGCAGGTGGACAGGAGTGTGTCCTGTTTTCCAAGCAGGCACCAGCAGAAATGCCCTCTTTTACCCTAAATCTCCTTCATCTGGCTGCAGTAACCCCAGCCAAGCTATCTTTTGAACCAGTGTGACAAAACACTTCATTCACTGGCACATAAATGTACACATGCACGTGCTTCCTCCGTATTGGAGATGTTCCTCTCTGAACAGCTAGAAGAAATCACAGCTGAACAGCTCATTGCTGTTAATGGCTGTGGCAGATCTGTGTTGTCAGAAATGTATGTGGAGATCTAGTTTTATGATTAGGTTCTTTCCTTCCTTCTAAATAGCTCTGGCCATAGGACTCCAATGTGCAGAGACCTCATCAGTGCTGTCACCAGCTTCAGCAAGAGGAGGGCTGTGGGCAAAAGTCAGTCTTAACGACTTTTATTCTCCTTTGTCAGTGATTTTTTTAGAAGAAAGATGCTTTTCTCATTGATTTTTTATTATTAGTTTTTTTTTTATTATGGGTTTTCTTACATTTTTTCTGAGCTTCAGATGCTCAGGACAAACAACTTAAAAGCAACAAACTGGAATCAGTTATCTTCCTGGCAAACTTACCCTTTCAGCACTAGGCTTTGCTTTAGGCCAAGTGTCGTAAAGAAATCACACACAAACTCTGAGCAATTTCCTCAGGGGTTGCTGCTGTCAAAATAAAGGTTTCACTTTGTATTGAAATGACTCTTTTGTTTTAGACCCCGCCAAAGGCAGTCAGCTGGGATTATTACCAACAATGATATCAGTTTCAAAGTCCACGCTTCAGAAACAGACAAGCATCAGAAGAATGTGCCGCTGTCTCAGCAGGGAAGCGTGCTGCGTGGCAAAAGTATGCCGAGAAAGGGAAGGAAAGGGGAACACTGAGGACATATTTCAGTCTCACATTTCATATTTCTCTCAGTGTGCCAAATTCCCAAAGGAAAATGCTGTTTTCTGGTATTTTAATGTAGAAAAGAAAAAAAAAACCCAAGAGTTAATATTTGTCCCATAAACGTGATTCAGGGATTTAGCAGCATTTCTAATTAAAAGGTAGTGAGATTGAGCTACCTGCATCACTTCTTTGTGACAAAGTATTGATTTAATCTTTACATTTGGCCTTAGTTTGTATTTGTAAAAGAGAAGTCAATATGAAGTGGTATTTGGCAGTCTTAAAGTCACCACAGCCTCCTTATTTTTTCCCCTTACATTCTGTGATACAAAGGAAACAAACAGTTTTGTGCTTGTGCTTTTGTGCCCACCCATACATCTCATACATATGCATGTGTATGTGCGATATTTCACATTGCATATCAAGAACCTGAAGCCAACTTGTAGCTGTATGTGTCACTGCATCTGCAGTGCTGGATGAACAATGGGAAAATGAGTAAAAAAAGGTCTTTTTCAGGCAGCTTAATTCCTGACCCTGCAAATGTGCAGCACTAAAGCAATGCTGTATCCAGCTGAATTCAACCCCCTTTGCAGTGGTAGGGAGGTTTTGCCTCTATGGATCACAAATCACAAGGTATTTTGGAGAGGAGACCACACAAGTCAAGACCTACTGGGAACCTGAAAAGGGGATTCCTTGCTATTTTCCTCCTGAAGTGATGGAAAGGCAACCAGATGGAATCAGGGTGTACAGCTTAACAGTCTATTAAGTTCATATATTTACTAGTCCTCCAGAGAGTGACCCTAAGTAAATGTAATCTCAAGGTGTCTAACTTCCCTGAGCCAAAGTGTTTGTTCAGTTTTCCTATTTTACTGTAAAAGTAAACAGGAGTAAATGAAATTCCATTCATTTATATTGCTGACCTTAGGAAAAAACACTTGAATTATCTAAACACTGGAAGTATAAAGAGGATTTTTTTTGCTTCATGTGTGTGGGTTGGTTTAGATAATCTAAAGCATTGTCAGGGAAATGGTCTTTTTTTCCCCCTGATTTGTAAGTTGACCTGACCATTCATTTTATGCTTTTTACTTCCTTTTCATTCCCAGAAAGTTCCATATTAAGGCTTCATTCTGCTCTCTCACACAGGGACATAAATTCAGAGCAGTTCCCCTGTTGTTAGTGGGAAGTTAACTGATTTAAAATGAAACATGAGGGGAAAACCATGCTTTGATTGCAGACCTCGTGAAGCAGAGTACATTAAACTACTATTTGGGGTTGGATTTGATGACCTTTCTGGAGTCTGTTTTAGTCCTGTTTCAACTTATGAAACACTTTCAAATAGCACTGAAAATTCAAAGAAACAACCAAGCCTTAAGTGTAAACATTATCTTATGGGTATACTTATAATTCAATACCTGATTTCTAGTGAGCAGCAGTTGAGCAGTTTTATTCAGCGGGTACTATTCACTCTGGATATAGTTATCATTCAGCCAGTGGTTTTTCCCATGTTTCTCCTCTGAGGTTTGCAAAAAAGAAGACCAAAACTAAAACAACTTTGGGAAGAAACTTTGAAGAAGACTTTGGGAAGTGCTTGAGAAATGTGTTCATAGAACAATAGAATGGTATAGGTAGGAAGGGACCTTAAGGTTCATCCAATTCCAACCCCCTGCCATGGGAAGGGACACCTTCCACTAGATCAGATTGCTCCAAGCCCCATCAAACCTTTACATTTCCTCCTGTCTGTGCATTGCAGCTGACCAGAGAGTTTTTCACCAAGGAGCTGAAGAAGCATTACCTGAGGAACAACGACACGGATGTCTTCTCTTCCACCTGGAACTCTGTTATGATCACAGTAAGTCAGGCCATGCCAGTCCAATGCTGCCCATGGCCAGTGGCCACAAACACAGTGCTTAACCCACACCCTCAGCTTGTCTTGCTTCAACAGTCCTTTTGCACCAAGCATAGCACCAGGGTTTGGGGCAGTAGTGGAAGCTGGGTTGGCAGCCAGTCTTTCTCAAAACAAGGGACCATCCATCAGTCCTGGGGGAGATAGAATCATAGAATAGTTAGGGTTGGAGATGTTCCCAATGACTTTGTCAGCCTCTGTGATTTGCCAAAGCCTGAGGCATTTGACCTGAATGGGTACCCCCAGCTTCCCAACAGCGGGCACAAAAAGCCATGGAGCTCTGCAACTGAATATCGCTGCATTTACCCTGGAGCTTTCACCTTGCAGGCTATTTCAGAACTATTGTCAGCCAAAAACTGGTGCTAGCTAATGGGGTTTTTCGTTAGCTCTTGTGAAATGAGTTGGTAGGTGGCAGATCAGGCAGGAGTGTGTGTAATGGTGTGTTTTCAGTGTAGAAATATTAGCCATCAAAATTGACTTTGCTATTACAATCCTAATCAGGCAGGTTACAGATTGACTGTCGTTGGAATTAGAGTTGTTGTTATCTACTATGAGAAGCTGTCTCTGTGTGTTTACACATGTGAACTCAGTGCTCAGTGCAGCCCACGGTGTGTCTCTTGAGGAGTGAAGAGCAGGACGTCAGACTCTGCAGATGAAAAGTCAATTTTAATCTTAAAAGAAAAAGATGAGTGCTGCCCTTCACGCCGATTCAGGACTTTAATAAAGACACTTCCTTTTGCTGACTGAAAGGAGACAGAGCCAGAGTATGCCTTGAATCCTTAAAAAGGACCTGACTTGAATCCTAAAAAAGGACCTTACTTGAATCATCTAGCAGCAACATGCCTGACCATTAGCTGTGGGGAGAAGGGGTGGTGAGGAGCCTGCATTGTACTGCTCGCTCCCTTACAGACTTGCTGGGTGATCTCAAGCAGGTCATTCTGGATGTGCTCCAAAGCCCTGTGCAGCTCGTGGCAATATTCCCAGTGGTACCTTAAGAGTCTATAGTATGACATGGGAACAGTGGGACTTTCTATGCAGGCTTTGATGAAACAGAAGCTCTGAGGTCCAAGCACAACCCACTTCTTTGGAAACAATAGTTGTTTTGTCTCTGCTTTGACTAAAGCTTTGATCCCTACAAGAATAGGTCTTTGGTAGATTTCTCCTATCTGCTTTCAGGGCAAAGTGTCAACTCTTTCCTTTCTCCTCCTGTGCCTCTCCCTAGTTTGCCTGCTGTGGAGTGAATGGACCAGAAGATTTCGAAGCTGTCCCTCTTCTTCCATACTCCCCTTTGGAAAGTGTGACACCGGAGGCGTGCTGCCAGCGAGAGCTCCAGAGCCGGGAAGGGATGTTTGTCAACAAGGAAGCCTGCCTCACAGGCGTCGAGAGGTTTCAGAACCGACAGGTAAGGGAAGCCCAACACCAGGGAAAGGAGTTTCCAGGAAGAGATGTGGCTGCAGTGGTCATGGTGATCATACCCATGGACCTCCAAGCCGCGTCCGACCCGGCCTTGAGCACTGCCAGGGATGGGGCAGCCACAGCTTCCCTGGGCACCCATCACCCCTTGTCTTACCACTACAGTCCCTGATGAAGAGTCCCTCTCCAGCATCCTTGTATCCCCCTCAGACACTGAAAGCTGCTCTGAGGTCTCCACACAGCTTCTTTCCTCCAGCCTGAACAGCCCCAAATTTCTCTGTTTTGGAGGTGCTCCAGCCCCTCATCATCCTCATGTTTCCTTACAATGTCACTACGACATGAAGTTTAAGAAACTTTGGAACAAGTCCAGAGAAGGCCACGAGGACAGTTGGGGACTGGAGCACCTCCTGTATGGAGACAGGCTGAGAAAGTTGGGGCTGTTCAGCCTGGAGAAGAGAAGGCTGCATGGAGACCTCATAGCAGCCTTCCAGTATCTGAAGGGGGCCTATAGGGATGCTGGGGAGGGACTCTTCATTAGGGACTGTAGTGACAGGACAAGGGGTAACGGGTTAAAACTTAAACAGGGGAAGTTTAGATTGGATATAAGGAAGAAGTTCTTTACTGTGAGGATGCTGAGGCACTGGAATGGGTTGCCCAGGGAAGTTGTGAATGCTCCATCCCTGGTGGTGTTCAAGGCCAGGTTGGACAGAGCCTTGGGTGACATGGTTTAGTGTGAGGTGTCCCTTCCCATGGCAGGGGGTTGGAACTGGATGATCTTAAGGTCCTTTTGAACCATAACTATTCCGTGATTCTATGAAGTTCCTGACTGCGTTCACCTCAGCACCAAGAACTGTGTACAAGCCTCCTACTCTCTCCAGACGAAGCAGTGGTCCTCTTTCCAGCACATGACAGCAGATTGCGAAAGAGGGTAAAGGGAGTTTGGAAGCAGCGTGTGAGCTGCTCCTTGCCTGGCAGCTGGAAGTGGTTGGCAAAGGCACTCTGGGTGAGAGATCATCGCAGACGGCACCGTACTGCTTCTGCCAGGTCTCATTGCTGTGAATAGATGGGAAGAGAGAGGAGGGAGATGACAAACAGCAGGGAGAGAGAAATGCATTTTGAGGAAGAGGGTGAAAGCAGGTAACAGATTTAGCTGTTGCCCTTTTCCCCAGCCAGCTTGATCTGCCTGTCATCTGCCCTTAGGGTCTTTTCCTCTGTGCTTAGTCTTTGCCCTTTGCAGAGGGAATGACTCTCCTGTGCTGCTCCTCTTTGCCCTCAAGAAGTCACAGTTCCTCGTGGTCAGTGTGGGGTTATGTGTGGATGGATCCATTCCCATCCCACTGCACAAAACCTTCCCCTCCATGGCACTGTACGTGGGTTTCTGCTTCCTGTGCTGGGTCAGGGGGTGAGAGAGATCCATGCTTGTAGTGCCTGGATCTGACAGCACCTCCTGTACTAATCATAGAACAATTTGGGTTAGAAGGGACCTTCAAAGGGCATCTAGTGCAAACCCCCTGCCATGAGGGCTGTGCTGAAAGAACAAGGTGATGCGCTGCTCAGGTGTGTCTCACCACGTTTTGTCCTTCTTAGGGCTGCTACACTGTGATCCTGAACTCCTTTGAGACCTATGTGTACCTCGCAGGAGCCCTTGCCATCGGAGTGTTGGCTATTGAGGTACTTACCTTTGTGCGACTGGAAGAAAATCAATGCTGGTTCCTGTCCAGCAGTGAGGTTCCCCCATTGCCAGGGAAAGCTGCTCCATGCCAGTCATGAGCAAGTTGTCAGCTTGTGGGTTTTAATTGCCTGGAAAGAGCTGGGTGCTTGCTCCTTTACCATGAAAGGGTGGGAAATAATGAGTGCCACAACCCTGCCATGCTGGCCATGGGGGCTATGGGGATGCACCACTAGCCCCATGGCCCCCTGTAGTCATTGCTCTCATTGCAACTAGCAAGCTGACTGCTCTGTCACTTGGTTAATGTGTTCAAAATCTGCCTTTGCTTTAAAAACTTCCATTCAGGGCCTGAAACTGTATTGGTTCCAGAGCATCTCCATTATCCTCAGTTAATACCTGCTCTTTGGTGATGTTTCTGAGGAGCAGGCTTCTACCAGACATGATATTATCACAGAAATGATGTCCCTGCAGCATCACTGGGACAAGGCTGGGTGCTTTCCCTGGTCCTGTGTCTTGTGTAAAGGAAAGTGATTTGGGCAGAGAGCCCCAGCAGCCCCCAGAAAGCTGAGCTCTGCCTGTTCTGGGCTGTGGCAATGATGTGCAGAGCAGGGACAAAGGATCCTGCTTCCCTGTGACACCAGGGCAGTTTGGGAATGAAGCCAAGCTGCTGCTGTCACCACAGACAGTTGGGGCAGGGGAATAAAGGGAGGGATCACCTTTAAGATATAAACAGAAAACGTTTTGCCACAGCCTCCATGGGTTGTAAGAAGGGTCCCTCTAGCTGCAGCACTGACTGATGGGTGGGAAGGAATGACAGGAGTGGTCCCATGGCCATGGGGGACGTTTCCAATCTTCTGGAAGATACAGCTCTCTGTAGCTGATTCTCTGTTTTTCTTTCCCCACCTTTCCCAGCTCTTTGCCATGATCTTCGCTATGTGTCTCTTTCGAGGGATCCAGTAAGAAGTGGCCCATGGACCGCCACATTCCCCACATGCTCAGACAAAAGAAGGAAAACGAGAAGAAACAAAACCTGAAACCACCCAAAAAAAAAACCTTTATTTTTTTTAACAAAATGGGGTAGGGGAAAAAAAAAAACACAAAAAGAAGAAAAAAAAAGAAAAAAGAGGGTTGTAATATATGAATGACCAAAAGGATTGTACTTCAGGGGCTGGAACTTTGAGGTGATGTGCACTACACTGTACACCGGACCCTTGCCCAGAGCCACCCACAGGAGCCCAGCACAGCCACCGATTGCACTAGAGACTGATGGAGCTGATGGGGAAGAGCAAGAGGACAAACAACGGCTGCTTTATCCCCTCAGCCATCTCTACATTCATGACTTTATCATGCTTTAGACAGCAAAGGACTGAAGAACACAGGGGCTGGATAAGGCAGCGGGTTGGCCAAAGTTTGTGACTGTCCAGGTGGGTTTGAGACGAGCGGTGGCGGCTCACTTAAGGAGTAGGTAGTCATCGTTGGTGTGGTTCTGGCTTTAATTCCCAGCCACAGAAAGAAAACACATGTTCTTCAGTGAAAGCTTTGCCTCTGAAACTTGTTGGAGAAGCCAACAAGGAGGTTGGCTTCTCTCTGGAGCCCCAAGCAGGGGCAACGTGGTCTCGGTGATGGGACACAGCTAAGGAAGGCCGATGGTCAAGAGTTTGGTGCCTACCTTTCTGGTTTTACTAAGATTTATAGCTCCTTGTTGTGAAAGAGAAAGAGACCAAACATTTCCCTGCTGTGTTCCCATCTCCTGGGAAAAAGACTGGCTCTGGTCAAGAATCATTGATACTGCTGCCTTCCTGAGAAGGGGAGGAAATAGAGTTTAAATCTTGTCAGCCTTTGCCTTTCCCTTCATACTCGCAAAAAACAGTTTGTGGTGCTCAGCATAAATATTTGCAGTGGTTCATACATGCTCTCCAGCCCTATGGGGAGGGCCAGGCATGGTGCTGGATGGGGGAGGCTGATGTCTGCCAGCCATTCCCATGCTATGTGCACCATTTCTGCTCAGAGCATTTCCACTGGGAGTCTCCCATGGGCTCACAATGCAAACATCAAGTCAGAATTGGTTCAGTCTGCCTGTTAGTTGCGTTTCCTCCTTGAGATAGTTTGACATTTAACTAACATGTCATCTGCTTAACCATTTGGAAGTGAACTTGGGGAGGATGCCTGCGACTGCGCCTTGGTCAGAGATGACGATGGAAGCGCTGAGGACCCAGGTAGGCTCTGAGAGCACCCAGCATGCAGCTGAACTGCTCCAGCTGCTGCTCCAGTGGTCATGGTTATCAGGTCACTGGTTTCTCTCCTCTGGAAGCATCAACCCCTGTTGCCTTAATTGTTCATCTGGTCTCTCCCTGACCCAAAACTCATTTTCCACATGGGAAGACAGAAGGGCTGTGGTTTCTTGTTTAGCTTAGGTGTTTTTACACATTTTATAGGCTCAGATTATGCAGCCCTTTTATAGAGGCTTAAACCAGCCCGTCTGAAAGCTGTAACCACTGGCAAGGAAGGAGAGGGGGGCAGAAGGCAGCAGCAAGGAGACGAGCAGTAACCTCATGCCCTGGCTTTGCAGCAGCAGGTACACTGGCTGTTCCCATACACTATTGGAGCTGTGTCCCTTGAGCTCTCCCAATGGCACTGCACAGGCTACACAGGAGGAAAGGAAGGAAGGAAGGAAGCAGCAGAAAGCCTGGTCCATAGTAGACAAAGATTCCGTAATAGATTATGTATTAGGAAAAAGCTTTTTACTGTGATGGTGGTGAGACATAGAGAAGCTGAGGCTGCCCCATCCCTGGCAGTGTTCAAGGCCAGGTTGGACAGGTCTAGTGGAAGATGTCCCTGCCCATGGAACTGGATGAGCTTTAAGGTCCTTTCCAACCCAAACCATTCTGTGATCCTGGATAAATATCCAGTTTGGGGAACTGGGATGCTAAGGAACAGGAAGGAGTTATTAGAGCTTTTCCAAGCTTCATTTGAGAACAATTTGCTCATCAGAAGGAGAGGCCTGGGGCAGGTAAAGCTGCAGCCTCCCCCCATGCTTCAGTCAGCACATTCGAGCAATGAAATAGGTTTCCAGGGCTGCTGAGCAGCCTCAGATGTTGCATTAAACCTCATGGAAAGCATTTCCGCACTCTTTCCCTCTGGGCCTTCTTTTAATGAGGCATTTTAGCATTAAATTCTCTTGTTTAATGAAGGAAAACAGTTTTGCTAGCCAAAAACCAGGAGTATTTGTGCCGGACAGCAGGTGCTGTGCTTAAGATAAGGAAAATCTGTTGCATCTACTAGTATTGCAGGGAATGGGCTGAGCAGAAGGCGAGCTTATCTGTTCTGCTTCTGCCTCAGGAGCTGTTGTTAGGGACTGTTCTGGCAGAGCAATTCCCAGGGGAGGAACAAAAGCATCAGCAGAGATGGTGATTTGGCTGGAGGTGAGTGAGAGAAGCAGAACTTTCTCCTCCCAGTCTCAGGGGTATTTTCCTCCCCCTTTCCTCTCAGTTTATTATGCCAAAGCCTGGATTGTCTCATTGCAGAGCCTGGAAGGCAAATACCCTGGTTTGTGCATGGTGGGAAGTGAAGGGGGAAAGAAAAAGGAAAAAATAAGAAGAAAAAAGTCTTTTAGAGCCTTTTTCTGCTACCAGTGGAGTGGGGAAAAAACCATGTCAGTGATGCAGAAACAACTGTCAGTGATGGGGAAAGACAGAGCAAAAAGTGCTAAATACACACACTTGCGGTACTGTCCCTGCTGGCTTCTTTCAGTTTGGCCTTCCAAATTCTGCACTCATTGCTTTGTCTGGTTTTAGCCTCCTTGCTTTCCCTCTCTCCCTAATGGCAGCCTCTGTACCTTCAGAAGGCTGTCATTCATAGAATCATAGAACAGTTTGGGTCGGAAAGGACCATAAAGATCATTATTCATCTGTTATCCTGGCCTTGGCACCGCTGTTTCCCCTCCCTTACCTTGCCTTATCCCCCTCCCATTGCTCTTTTCTGGGTGAAGACTTAAATCCTCCCTGGAGCTGGCTAGCGTGCCGTTGGGAACACAGCTCAGAACCCCATCATAGGCCAGGCAGCACATATTAAACAAGAACTGGAGATAGCTGTGAAGATAACAGGCAAGCCTATGGAAGTCAGTAACAGGCAGAAGGAATTTCCCCCCTAGGAGACCTTAATGAACAAGCAAGCCCAGAAAGCACACTCCTGCTGTATGGAAAAGCATGTGGATGTGATGGTTTCGTCCCCTGTTGATGTGTCTGCTCCCTCTGTTGTACCGTAGTTTTGTGAACAGGAGGCAGGAGGAGCAACTGTATTGTTATGTTTAACAGCTCTGGTGAGTATTTGGGGGCCAGGAGCTGCTGTGCTGCCACCTCCTTTGCTGTAGCACTGTGCCTGCAGCCCAAGCACCTTGGATGGAAGTAGTAGAGAGCAGCCTGTGCCTGCAAACCCATAGCCCCTCCTGGTGCCCCTGTTATTTAATGCTCAAATGACTGTCACGAATGCCTGGGAAAAGGGCTGTGTGTGGAATAATGTTTGAAATCTATTTTAAAAAGAAACACAAAAAAAAAAACAAACCACCTGTAAATGTTCTTTTTATTAGATAGTGGAGCTAATTTATCCTGTATTCCCTACTGTAATGCTTTTTTATATTGAAAGGATTTGGTTTTGGTAATATAAAGCAGAACACAAGCCTCAAGCACTCTCTGCACGGATTTTGTGTGCGTTTCTTAAGAAAAAAAAGTAAAAAAAAAAAAAATAAAAGAAAGATATTGTGACAGTGAAGTGAAACAGCTTTAATTTTCACTATTTGCTCGGTGGTAAGTACAGTCACTTTCTTTACCAGAGGAGAAAGAATGAACTCAGGTACAGCAGCTAAAATGAGGTATAAACTGAAGTGTCCCATTCTCCTCCTATGCCCCCCTCCCCACCCCAAGTAAAAACCCCTTGACCAGAAAGGAGGCCAGCTTAGGACAGACAGAACCTCTCCTTTGGCACCAGCTCCAGTTTGCCAGCTATTAGGTAGGTGTGAATAAGGTGATGGAGGGAGTGATGTGAATGATGAGCTTCCTTCACCCTCAACAGTGAGGGCTCGATGAACACAAGGGTTTGGGTCCATCTCTGGCAGAGAAAAGGGGTCAGCCTTGGTGCTGGCTTGTACCCGCTGGGGAGCACAACTCCCAGCCCTGCATATTATACAAATGCAGGTAATTCCTCACAGGTTCCTCTGGGAGAGGGTTTCAGTCCAAGGCCTTTCTCACAGTTTAACATAAGGAAACTGAGGCCTGTGGAGATGGAGTTGTTTTTCTTCAGCAGATCAGTAGCAGAGCGTGAAGTGATGCCTCAAGCTTTGGATCCCAAATCATATGCTCAACCGCCACCTGCAGCTGCGATGCCTGCACTTCTGTCCTTAAGGATGAAGTTCTATACAAACATTTCAGCATCCTCCTCCCTTTTCCCCCATTCACAACAGGGTGAAGACAACCAGCTCAGTTGGGTTCTGGCAGCACTGTGGATGCTCTGCCTGGGCTCCATCCTCAAGCCGCCCTGAGAAACTCTGTCTTCGACCTCATCTGCTACAAACTCACCTCCTTAAGTGGGCCTGGCCATGTTTCTCCTGCTGCACCTTGCTGATGAGATGGGAATAGGCCAGGGACCACAGCCTTTGCTAGGCAGAGGCATCCATTTGCCCCTTCTCACTTAGTTGTAGAAGTAGTATACAACCCCAGTCCCATTCCATGCTTCCTATATGGTCCATTATAGCAAGATGGAGCAAGAAGCATGAAGATAAAAGAACTTCTTCATCTCTCCCCATTCAGGACCAGGTACCAAGTAGCATGAAATCTCCTACGTGGCTGCTCTCTATGTTGGAGCAGAAAACATTGGCAAAACTCAAAGTGGTTTCACTGTGCTAAGATTTGCAGAGGCAGCTGCTAAGCATGGACAGAAGAGTCCCACCTCACCTGATTTAAAGCTCCTTTGGAAAGCTGCTTCCTTCCCACCTGATTTAACCATCAAGAGGTCTTTGGAGAACTGCTGTCACATAGTGCACTAACTCATTTCTCTCACCTGCAGCCATCTACAGATCCAGAGTCATAACTAAGCTCCTAGAACCTGCAGCCAGCACACATGGGAGGACAGCATTAAAGGGACCTTCCATTTCCTTCTTATACAAAATTGCTTTTGCTGTGGTCAGTTTTACTTGTCATTCCTAGAAATGTATCTCCCACCCCCAAAAAACCCCACGATCAAGCTGTGTATACATTCGTGTGACCCCCAAAACACAAAGAATCAAGCTTCACGTACCTATACCAACAACTACAGCCAAAGTGCTGCACTGATGCCACTACAGCTGCCTATGCAAGTGGTGTGCAGGGTGAGAGCAAAGCCATCACACACAGCTCCCACACGCAGCACCATTCTGTCTGATTTGTGGTACCCACCAGGCTGCACTTGATCATTTCCTGCCCCACAGGGAAAAGGTTTCCCTCTTAAAGACCAGTTCTTCCACCTGAACAGGAAGGCTCCTCTTGTATCTAAGTTTTAGTTGCTCAGTATCATATCTGGGAGATGCTGAAAGCAGCTTGGCAGGCACGTGTTCATGGCAGGCTCCAGGATTCAGGATGTTGCCTCTCCATTGGACTTTCTTCTCAGGGAAGGAAGAATTACAATTGTGATGTTTCCTGGTCCAAGTATTCCCAATATTCTCACCTGACAGACGTTCTGCATGGCCAGTAGGTACAATGCACACAGTGTCCCAAGTTTACGCAGCTGCTTCTAAATGCCAAAAGCACTAACACAACATACAGTAACTACCCACTACCTTCTTCTAACTCTACTAAGATATTAAATAGCCGTAGATCCCGGTCTCACCAGCAGCTTGAGCATTGTTGTTCACACAAGCATTTCTATTTCAATAGGCATCTTTATACTGGGATTTTGGGATGTCTGCTCTATTCCAGGGCATGCTTTGATCCAGTCAACAGTAGTGCATGAGTAAGAAGTCCATATCCTGTACACAGACCTTGGGGCTTTAAGTCACATGGAGAACAAAAAATGCCACCCTCCAGCTGCGGACAGGGATAATCTGCAAGGAAAGCACTAGGAAGTACAGCAGCTAGCGCTGTTAAGCCCAGGAGGTGTTGGAGAAACTAGCCAGTGAGTACTAAAGCACATTTCATCTGTCCTTGACTGAGCTACAGAAGGAAACGATGCCTTCATGTGCCCTGCTCCTTGCTTTCTTCATCCCAGTAAAGTATCTTAATGCTACAACCTTTGGTCCTCTCTGCCCCATCCCTGGCAGTGTTCAAGGCCAGGCTGGATGGGGCTTGGAGCAACCTGCTCTAGTGGAAGGTGTCCCTGCCTGCGCCAGGGGGTTGGAACTGGATGAGCTTTAAGGTCCTTTTCAACCCAAACCATTCTGTCATTCTGTGATGCCTGCACACTAGCAGAGCTGGAACACCATCTTCCACAGCTGGGGCTCATCGCTACTGATCAGTATCATCAGTACTGATGCTCACTCTGCTCTTACAAGTAACCACAACAGCATTCCAGCCCCTGCTTAGCTAAAGCATCAGACCTACCTCACACCCCCCCACTACTACCATCAGTAAAGCTGCACTTGTAGGAAGTGTTCTGGTGTGAAGAGGACAGAACCCCAGCCTAGAAACTTCAAGAAACATCCCATGCAAGGGGATGTCTTTGTGCTCAGTGGACCGTTTCCAATAGCTTCCTTCACTTCCCACATACCACAGTTCAAGCTGCTTTGCTGTTCCCAGTGCTGTCCCTGCAAAGGGACCAAACAAGGGATCTCCATCTTCTTTTCCTCCTGCCGAGCTTTGCACAGCACCCAGTGCAGAACTACAAGCGAGGTAGCCTCTCTGGCAGCAAGGAAGGAAGAAGAGCTGTTGGCAAAGCACTGAACTCAACCTAGCCCCATCCAGGTCCCCAGGCAGTCCATACAGGCTAAAAGGAAAGCGGGATGTACATAAGGACATTCCCCACCAGGCAAGTGGCCAGGCTTACAGTGGGAGCAGCAGCATCCTTTGTTGGCTATCTCACCATCCTGCCTCCTCAGGGATTTGGTTGCAATGTGCTGGTCTTAGTTTGTGCTTTGTTCTAGCGGGTTCCGAGCCTGTGATCCCATCAGCCAGTTCCATCCTGCAAAGAAACTGGCTCTTCCCTGAGCCTGCCAGGCTCACACACCTCCCTGAGCCTTCCTCCCACTGCTCCTCACCTCCTGCAGAAGGACTGGGGATGCTGCTCCCCCCCCATTTAACCAGGCAATGCCACCAGCACCGGGTTACACACTGATTCATGCCGGTAAAGTGGAAAAGGAGGAAACCCCTTTAGAACCAAAAGGGACTAACAAAATAAACCAAAAAGAAATGAAAGTTATAATTATAATGCAAAATTACCGACACAAACCCCCCCTCCCCATAACAAAAAGCCCAGGATTTAGACTTTCTTGGGACGGCGTCCAACTTGGTAGTAATAATAAATGCTGATGAGGATGAAGAGGACTCTGCTGACCAGGAGGAGCATGGCACCGGTGGCTATCCGGCTACTCTCAACCAGGGAGACGGTAGTAACTGGAGGAGAAGGAGGGAGACAAGGCAGAGGTTGGTGGTGAAGAAACAGATGCGGCCAAACAGCACAAAGCTGTTTTGTGCTGCCCTCTAACGTGGTGACTTAGCGAGGCCTGCTGAGCCTTGGGAGCACAGCAGCTTTCAGCGCAGGCTCAAACACATGAACCCAAGGCAGAGGCTCTTAACTTGATTTCACAGCCTTGAAGTTAGCCACAGACCCACAGAGCTCTAAACCCAGCCCCACATCCCAGTGGCCACAATCTGAACAGGTCACTCAAGCCAATAGAAGTTTCCACCATGCTCTGGTATTAACTGTGGATGCTGCGTGTTCCTGAGCTTGCTCTGTGGCTTGGCCACATCAATGCTGTTAAATATTTTACAGCTTTAGGAGCATCCACAACATGCACATAATCCATGCGCACTGAGCATCTCTCCTTTTGATTACCACTGCATAGCCCATATCTGAACCAGCTACCTTATAACACAGTGAGCTTCCAATCTACACATAAAAGAACCCCCTTCACCGTTAAATATAGATAAGCTCCCTAGAAACAAACTGAACTGTTATTCTCTGGTTTGGCAAGACTGAACATCCCCCTTTTTAGTGTAGGTTGCTGCAGTCTTATTAGCCACAGGTTCTAGGCAGCCCGCTCCACAGTAAAACCAGTGATGGCTGTGAAGATCAGGGTGGTTTAGGGGAGAATAAATCCATAAATCCTAAGAGGAAGATGTTTGCCCTGTACCCGGGCACCTTTCAGTGAGCAGCCCAAAGCAGAGGCTACTCCATGGGGAGGAAAAGGGAGATGCTATAGGGAAGATGCTCCCATGGCCAGGTTATCTTTGCCTGCAGAGCAAAGGAGCCATCTCCAGCAAAAGCTGGAGACAACCAGGGATCGGGTGCTCCTCCGGCTGCGCCAGCAAATCCCCATCAGCTGATTCCACTATGACCCCTCAGAGCCTCACCCCACAACTCCTTCAGCCTGGAGTTTACTCCATCAGACCCAAAGGCACAGCTCCAATTTCATATACAGTCCCACCAATGGTTCTCCTGCCCACTTCTCCCTCTTCCCTGCATGCTTTGGGGTACACAGCATGTACCCTCACCCTTTGCATCCTCCTCTTCCTCCCTTCCGGATGGCCGCAGCTACTCACCCAGGAACTGCACGGCAAAGTAGCAGGCCTCGGTCAGCAGGGTCCAGCGGATAATCACCTTTTCCGCCGTGTAGAGAGCGTTCCACATGATGAGAGAGATGCCTGCAGAGGGGGAGCACAGCAGAGCTGCCCCAGGGGCTCAGGAAGGGGCAACCGGTGCCCAAGAGAGATGTTTCTGCCTCCCATGGATGAAGGGATAAACGGAAGGGGGGAGGGATGCAAGAAAGGAGGGAGGAAGGAATGGATTGATAGAAGTAAGAAGGAAGGTAACAAGGGATGGATGGATGGATGGATGGATGGATGGATGGATGGATGGATGGATGGATGGATGGATGGAAGAAGGAAGGTAAGAAGGGATGGATAGAAGGAAGAAGAAGGTAAGAAGGGGTGGATGGATGGAAGGAAGGAGGAAGGTAAGAAGGGATGGATGGAAGAAAGGAGGAAGGTAACGAGGGATGGATGGAAGGAGGAAGGTAACAAGGGATGGATGGAAGGAAGGAGGAAGGTAACAAAGGATGGATGGAAGAAAGGAGGAAGGTAACAAGGGATGGATGGAAGAAAGGAGGAAGGTAACAAGGGATGGATGGAAGAAAGGAGGAAGGTAACAAGGGATGGATAGAAGAAAGGAGGAAGGTAACAAGGGATGGATGGATGGATGGATGGATGGAAGGAAGGAGGAAGGTAACAAGGGATGGATAGAAGAAAGGAGGAAGGTAACAAGGGATGGATAGAAGAAAGGAGGAAGGTAACAAGGGATGGATGGAAGAAAGGAGGAAGGTAACAAGGGATGGATGGAAGGAAGGAGGAAGGTAACAAGGGATGGATAGAAGAAAGGAGGAAGGTAACAAGGGATGGATGGATGGAAGGAAGGAGGAAGGTAACAAGGGATGGATGGAAGGAAGGAGGACGGTAACAAGGGATGGATGGAAGGAAGGAGGAAGGTAACAAGGGATGGATGGAAGGAAGGACGAAGGGAGGGACAGACGCGCCGTGCCCGCTGCAGTCCCAGCCCCAGCCGCGAGGTGCTGCTGCAGGCTGCGGGACGGACCGGCCGGCACCGGCATCCCGCAACCGCCGGCCTCAGCCCCTCCGACCCCACATAACCAAGCCAACCCACCCCATTGCCAGCCCCTACCTGCCCTTTGCTGCCTGCGGCTCCAAAGAGGCACGGGTGGGCACGCAGAAGGTGCAGTCCCGGTGCTGAGCTACACAAACCCCGTGTCTTGAATTCCTCCACTCGTTTACAGACCGTTTCTCTAAGCTCCCTGCACCTTCCTGTCCTTTGCTCCCCACCTCTTCGGTCCCCTGCATGGGACTCTCCCGGGATGCCATCGCTTGCCCCTTCTCTCTTCCCACTCCCACGAAAAGGGTCTGCTCCCAGTTTCATCCCGGTATGGGTGCATGGGACCTTCCTGGGATCCCATTGCCTGTCTCTTCTCTCTTCCCACTCCCATGAGGAAGGTCTGGTCCCAGCTTCATCCCCAGCAGCCCACCTCTCAGTGCCCTATCTCCCAGCCCATCTCCAAGCTCCCTTTGTTGGGGCACTTGGGATACACCCCTGATACTAGGGCATGCACATCCACCCCTTCTTACCCTACCTGCAACGAGCCTGAGCCCCTCCTAGGAAAAAGCATCAGTAGCTGAGCTTTTCAAAATACCCCTAAACAATTTCTTTGCTAAGAACAGATGTTCTCCTCTCCCACTGCAGCTGTCCAGCCCTACACGGGCTTTGCCCCCTCCTGCTGATTTGGCATCACTCATCCCTTCACTCTGCATGGCAGCAGCATGCCCTGGGTACAGCAGCACAGCACTCACTAAGGAGGGCTCCTCCATAGAGCCGGATGGGAATCTTGCTGCTCGCCGGTTCCTCCTCGAAGACGGCATCGTAAAGCTGGTCAGGGAAAGCAAGCGCCTGGCAGGGGCAAGGAGAGACTCAGCAGCCTGCATTGGACATCAAAACGTGCCCTCTGGGGCAGCAGCGTTCCAGCATCAGCCTTTATGGGACTGGAGCTGCTGGCCAGGAAATGGGGAATTAAGGACATGCAAGAAATATCAGTGTCAGCTCCTGGCTTCGTGGCTGGTTTCTACAGCCGAGGGTGCTGTGCTGCGTGTGGTTTATGACTCTGCTAATGAAAACAGAGCCTGGTGATGGGAGCAAACCACCAAGGACGCTGCCGGCAAAACCTATTACTGAGACATGGTGAGGGCAAAGGCCTTGCAAGAGGAAGCAGCAGCAGCAGCTGCTGGAGGCAGGGAAGGGGGATAAATGCCAAGGAGCCAGGCTGGGGCACCTCTTTCACAGCAGGGAGCTGGTGGTGCCCAGGACCACATCCCTCACTTACCATGATGGCAACCCCCGAAAACATGACGGCAGAAACCAGCTGCCAGACCCTGTGAGAGAGGGAAGAGAGGACCCGGTGTGAGCAGACCCATAGCTTGTGCTTCACAAAGCATCCCTGCTGCCTGCTCCGCTGTCAGCGTTCATACTCCCACATCCCACTGTGGAGGCAGCCAGGAGCCTCCCATGAGGGTATGGGCTCCCCACACACCGATAGCTCCAGCCTCAGCACACAGACCAGCCTTGGTGAGGCAGATCCAAGACCCTCTTCACCTAAGCAGAGAAAGGAAGTGACCCCGCCAATAGGACAGTGCTCAGCAGGGTCCCAGACCAGGAGCTCCTCCAGCCCCATAGAGGCCCTGTAGTCTGCAGCATCTACTGTGGGAGAAGAGGTTGAGGGCCTCAGGGTTATTTCACAGAGCCATAGAACGGCTTTGGTTTTGGAAGGGACCTTAAAGCTCATCCAGTTCCAATCCTTTCCCACGGGCAGGGACACCTTCCACTAGAGCAGCTTGCTCCAAGCCCCTGTGTCCAACCTGGCTTTGAACACTGCCAGGGATGGGGCAGCCACAGCTTCTCTGGGCACCCTGTGCCAGCGCCTCAGCACCCTCACAGGGAAGAGCTTCTGCCTAATGTCTAGAATAAATCTACTGTGGGGGAATAAAGCAGAGCTGGGCTAGTCCTGTGGCTCTGAGAAGCCCCTGCATGGAGCAGTGATGCTGGCACAGCAGCAGAGCTGGTGGCAGCAGCCAGCGCTGTCAGGGATGCTGTGGTTCAGGGCCCACAGATGACCCAGCTCCAAGGTAGCCCAATAGCTTACCTGAGCCCCAGTGGTTCCCGGACAGCAAACTTGATTTCATTGCCCAATACTTGGCTAATCTGAAATTCAAATAGAAGACACAAGGTGACTGAGCAAACCTTTCCCCAGTCTTTAGGCTGCATTTGGAAGCCCTAAAATGCATACCTAACCTCATGTGGGAGTTTACCTCCAAGAGGGCTGGAAGAGGACATGGGATTCACTTGTGACTCCTTGGTCCCTACACCTGCCAAAGGCTGCCTTGATTTCCACCAGGAGCTGCAGCCTCTACTGCTCCTTTAGTGGATAAGCCACCTGCAGCACGGGGCTGGAGCAGGGTTAACATTATCTTGTGTCTCCTCTTACCTACCTAAGTAGGGAAATGTCTCCTTCCACATGCCACCTGCATGTCACATCCCCATAGAGAAGGATGTAGGAGCATCCATCCCACTCTCACGTGCACACTGCCTAGAGCAATGCCTGGCTATGATTACCCCAGACCACACAGGTGGGAAGGCTACACCAGTGACAGGAAAAGGTACTGGGGGAGCTTTTGGAGAGCTCTGTGCTTCTCCCCACATGCAGGCAGGAGCTGGGCAATGCCCTGCCAGCATGTTCTCCAGAGTGCATCTGCGACAGGGCTCCTATGGGGACTCACCTCCAGCTCTGGTACTTCCCTGAAACAGGCTGGCTTGCCTCCAACCTCTCTTCTGAGAGGCACGGCTTAAACTGCTGCTCCAGTGTCCAGGCTGGTGGGCACTGGTGGTACAATGGTCTGATGGTACCTCATGGGTGTCTTGGCAATGGATTAAAGCAGCCTGAGGGTCGAGCTCACCCCATTACCATTTGGGTCAGCGCCTGCGTACCCAGCAGGCTCCACAACCCATCTCTACTCAAAGACATCACTGCTTGTGCCACTTGGCCTTCACCCTCCCTTTCCAGGAGCCCCACAGAGCCCTGGTTTTGGCTACAGACGTTAGATCCTAAAGACCCCCCCCACACCACCTCGGTTTTCCCAGGTAGAAGCTCTCTTCTCCATCATTACCACACAAGGGCTTCCCATACCTTTGAGCGATGCACCTCGCCGTCATCATCCTCCCCGCCGACCCCCAGGATCTTGCGTGTCTTCAGCCTGCTCACCAGGTCGGTCTGGCTGTGCTTCTTCATCAGCGGCGGGGGCTGCTTCGCCGCCATGGTGGGGCCCTCGGCTGCCAGGTGGGAAGCAGTCACATGAAATTCCACGAGGATCAGGAGGAAAAGCCCAGCCACGGCCACGGAATGCTCCTGTTAGGCTGGAAGATGGGTCCTCATCGTCCCGGGGCAGGGAGCCGGCTGGCCCCGGCTAGGGGCAGCTCATCTCAAGGTGATCCTGCTGTCACCAGGATCTGCTGAGGGGGACGGGGAAGAAATATAATCAGATCAGAGTGGCTTTAGCATAGGCAGTTAGCTATAAATGCTTTTGACCTACAAAGTGTAGTTTAGCTGGGGGCTGCAGGGATAGGACAAAAGGTGGTGGATTCAGACTGAAACAGGGGAGATTAATGTTAGGTATAAGGAAGAACTTTACTGTGAGGGTGGTGAAACACTGGAACAGGTTGCCCAAGGAAGCTGTGAATGCTCCATCTTTGGCAGTGTTCAAGGCCAGGTTGGACAGGGGCTTGGAGGAACCTGGTGTAGTGTGAGGCATCCCTGCCTATGGGGCTAGATTGGATGAGCTTTAAGTTCTTTCCAACCTAAACCATTCTGTGATTCTATGATTCTATTCCAGCATAAGGCAGCGCCCAGCAGTACCTCTTTCTTGTTTCCCAGATGAAGGGGATTAAATGCTTCCTAAACCTGGGTAATTACAGTCATTAAGTGATGCCTTGCCTTTTGTCTTTCCCTATGCCATACATCACACCCTTCAGCTGCTATTTCAGGCCAAAGGACACAAACCTCAGCTTTTTACTCGTGTGTCCCCTCAGATACTGCAGCCCCCATTTGTCTTCATTTCATCTTGGATTAGCTGAACACAAACACGTTTTCCTCTTTGCCACTTCACCCTCCCACACCAAGGCACGAGACACAGCTAATCCAGCCTAAGCCAGCACAGGACTCAAGCACAGTCCCAAGCCCTAGCCAAGCCTTCCCATGGCTGCCCCAGGAAGAGGCGATTTACACTCATGGTTAAAGACTTCATGAGTCTTTTGGGAGTCATAAAAGAAGGTGCCAGTTATTTTGGCATGGCGCATGCAAGTGTTGTCCTGCTGCCTCGTGAGGGATTTCCCTCTTGCAGGAAACCCCTTCCCTGTGGGTGTCAACACAAGAGCGGACAGTCGTGCCTGTGAGTACCCGATATAACCCTTTCTGTAAGGCAAAGCCAAGAGGTCTCACTGGGACAGTACAAAGACTGAATCCCATGATCAAGGATTTAATAAGACCCTCTCAGCAGACCACAGGCAAAATGCCTTTTAGCTACTGGAGGCTTTGCAAGTGCTTCTTTGGGATTGCAGAAGGTTTTGTTGGCTTGTGGGGTTTTTTGCTCTTATTCCACTCAATAACCAAGTCCTGGAAAGGCAGCTCAGAGCCAGATGCAGCAACCAGGGTCTAGAAATACTGCAGAAGGGGACAATGGAAAACAACCACTCAGGAGGAAGGTGGGAGCTGTATCTACTCGTACCTCCACTCAAGCACAAGGCAAGAAGCTTACTACTACGTAGTAGAAAAGTTTGGATTTACCCTGTCTGGATTTTGCCAACCCAAATAACTTGTGTGTACTCAAACCTAGATAATCTACACATAAAATCCACCCCATAAACCAAACTGATGTGTCACAAAAGACCTCTGATGTCTTTTACTACAGATCCTGTAGTGCTTTCTCCTCCTGGCAGACCCAGACTCACAAGGTTGGATGTCGAGTGGTTTCTCACCACTGCTGCTGAAACCAGAGACCTGTTGCTGTGGTATTTCTAGCCCAGCATTTTCTGACCAAAGCTCTCCAGCACAATCCAGCCCTATTAGGACCACTCCAAGGCCACCCTACATCCTTCACCTGCCCCAACACAGCTCCTGGGACATGGGGACGACATTCCCAAGTGAAGGGCTGATGCATGGTACCCAGTGAGGACCCTCATATCCCTGTAAAGGTGCTGGGTATCTATTTGGCCACTCTCCCTCCCCTCCATGCTTTGGAGGGGAATAAAGCAAAGTCCTTCCCAAAGCCCTGCTAGCTGAGGGAACAGTCTAAGCAGCAGCATCCTTCTGGCGTGGGTCACCAAAGCCCTACCAAGGGATGAGAGACCTGAGGCTTGATGGTCTTGGTAGGGCTTTGGGTGCTGAGTGTGCTGGGTTCCTTCATGATTTTCAGAAGAAAAAAGAATAGCTTTAAAGCAAAGAAAGTGTCATTTCTGAAGTAATTAATTCCTAATCATACAATCACAGCATTGTCTGTATCATTAACATGACTTCGGTTTTTCAACACGGTGTAGTTTTAATTAAACAAACCCTTAGATATATTTTTCCTCTTCCTTTGTAACACAAATTAACTTTTTCTCATTAGTGGCAAAGAATAAATTAACTGTGTAATCAGCAACTATTACTTGGTCACTTCTGGAAGGGTTATTGCCAGGTAGTTTGTATGCAGTGGCTGGAGAATGGTTATGAAATAACAATTAATGGTCATGAAATAAGCATTTCAAGACACTGGCACAGGGTGCCCAGAAAAGCTGTGGCTGCCCCATCCCTGGCAGTGCTCAAGGCCAGGTTGGATGGGGCTTGGAGCAACCTGCTCTAGGGGAAGGTGCCCCTGCCCATGGCAGAGATTGGAACTGGATGAGCCTTAAGGTCCTTTCCAACCCAAACCCACTGATTCTTGCCAGGAAAAGCTGCTGCCTGCACCTCCTTCTCTGTCCTCATGATCAGAAATGGCAAAGGAAGGGAAGATGGGACAGGTGAAAAAGAAAACGAAAAGGAAGGAGAGAAAAGAAAGGGAGGAAAGGAAAACAAACCAAAACATCTTCATATCTAGAGAATCTGTCCTTAGGGCAAGAAGCAAAGGAAGGTGATGGAGGCTGAAGGGGGCAGGCACTCCATGACTCACCAGTGAAGACAGCACTGAACACCTCTGTGATTACAGAGGCAGTTTTGCAACTATAATCATGGACCAAAAGATCAAAATTTGCCTTTATCAGTTGTCTCCCCAGTTACTTTCAGGGCAGGAGCTTGTGGAAATTCACCCACATCATCATTAACACTGTTCTCCCCTTAAGAATTCCCCCTAGTTTGTGGTAAACCACTGGCCAAGAGCCAGGACAACACAGGCCAGATGCAAATGCCAACAAAGCAATCACTGAAGGCCATGCTGGTACATAAACCCACGCTCCTACTGTTCTATGCACAGCTATGGGCATGGCCCCACAGCCAGTCCCACGTCTCATTACACCCATCTTCCAGAGAAAGAGCCAGTCTAACAAATACTGAATAGTAACGAATAATGAGCTAATGAATGCATTGGTGTGAATTCAATGACATTCAGATAGAAGATGCCAAGGATTTGAAAACATTATACTTACATTATCCTGATACAGTGACAATTTAGAGGATGTTTTCTATTAGCCTGTGTGTTTCCAAAGGGGAACCTCCACCTCCTCTTTCTCCTGAGATTCTTTCTTCCTTAATCCTATTTCTGAGCATCCCAGGGGCTGTGCAGATCAATCACCATAAACAGGCAATTCCCACTGCCTGTCACAGCTCTCAGTGATGGGCAGTGCCTGTGTGCAGTAGAAAGAGGTGCTTTCTTCCTCCAAAATCCCTTCTCATCGCAGGCTCCTTTCAGGATCTCTTCCCTTGCTCAGCTGTTCAGCATACTGCACTCAATGCTGATAGCTACTGCTTAGTGGTGCAAAGAAACCTCACTGGTGCCACAGTAATGATAGCTCAATCTCTCCCCACCTCCACAGCTCTTCCCCCAGCATCTCTGTTTCCCTCCCAGTGTCTGGAGTGAAGAGGAGCTCTGCAGCACAGGAGAGAGGAGACTCAGCCACACACAGGATGCTGCAGCAGCCAGAGCTGTGCACCCGTCGAGGGATGCTTGCAGCTCCTCAAGAGGGGAACCAGACCCCAGTCCTGCAGGCACCTTAAGTTGAGCACCTATAGCATCATGAAGCATCACTCTCCCCACCTCTCACGTGGTTTGGGTTGGAAGGGACCTTAAAGATCATCCAGTTCTAACCCCCTGCCATGGGCAAAAGACACTACATCAGGCTGCTCAAAACCTCATCCCACTTGGCCTTGAGCACTGCCAGGGATGGGGCATCCACACTGAGATACTTGGAGCTGGGGTTTTCCCACAGCACTGAGGCAAACTGTGTGAGGAAGCTAATTAAAGGAAATTAATGATTTCTCCCATGCCAGCACATGGCTTTGCACATGTGGGCTAGCAAAACATCTTAAACCAACCCCAGAATAATGTGCAGGTTTTGCTAGGAGGAATATACTTCTACCCATGCCCCGGCGGAGGGGTGTAAGCTCTCTACCCTGGAGAAGAGAAACTTCTCCCAAAGCAGTTTATGCAGGTCAGGAAGCCTCAGAGACCTGCAGGGAATGAAACTTGATCAAGCCAAAAATAACCTGATGCTCAGGCAGTACAAAACAATTAGCACTCAGCCACCACAGCAGCACAATGCGGCTGGCACAGTCTGTACACCCAAGCAACGGGGAGACTTCAGAGCTCTCACCTGTAACAAGCCAGGTACACGGGACTCCCTTCCCACATCAACACCAGCCCTTTCCCTACAGAAGGCTCTTTGCAACACCAGCAGGAGACATTTCTTGCCAGAGGTTCATCCCCAACTCTGCTACAGCCCTGCTGCTTCCTTACGCAACTCCAACAGGCACAGGGACACTGTGTCCTCCCTATGGAAAAACCTATAAACCCATACAGATATCCTGCTGTCTGGGTTTACACATGAGGAAAATGCAAAGCAAAATCCTTAGGTCAAAGAGCATCCTCACCGGGTGCCTCCAGACCATCTGCAGACAAAGTCCAGACCACAAAGAGCACATCCAGAGCTCACCCTGCAGATTAGATATGCCCCATGCAAGTTAGATATACCCCATGTAGGTTAGACATGCCTCATGGCCAGACATGGCTGGATGCCCTTCAACACTGGTTGTGAGCCCTGCAGAGCTGCCCATGGCCACAGAGGTGTAAGGTGGCAGTGCCCTGTGCCTACAGCAGCTCCAGCAATCACTAAGTCAAGGGATGCAGCCAGCATCACACTAAGCAGGGGACAATGAAACCTCTGCAGCCTGATGGGGAGGAAAAGAGTTAAATTGTGTTGCTTACTCTGTTTGGAATACAGGCATAAGAGGACATCCAAAGCCTGTTCAGCCTTTCCCATGCATCCTGAACTCTCCCTAATGCCTGATTTAGAGCTTCATCCCTTGCACAGGCTTAGCCCCTGCATCCTCCTCCACGCTGCTCTATTCCCACTGCCCCCAAGCACTGCAGCTCTTGCCCACAAGCTCCCCATGGCCATAAAAACATCCTGCCCCAAGAAAGCACCTCTACTGGGACCAAGCCACAGCATCTGGGAGGTATGGCCCAGCTCAAGGATTTTACTGCCCATAGGTTTCACATTTCCTTTTGCAGGGACCACAGGAAAGTTCCTTTCCGTGTCACAGGACATGTTATATAGCAATCAAAACCTGCAAAGTGCTTGGTTTCCCCAGAACAAGGCAGAATAAACTGTGTTGCTTTACTAGCTTCTCAAAGGGGAGCTATAATTAAACACAGCAATCACACTCCTGCTCACCACCTGCAGCAATGCATCAACCCTTCCACGGCAAGCCAGGTCTCCCAGGCTTGACCTGGGGACAGAAATGCTTGTTTGCCACACACTGCATGGCTATGGCCACCAGCACACATGACACCCCACAGGGGTGGATACCTGGCCCCACTGCAGCCCCACTGCATGGGCATGGAGGGCTCCCGACATGGGGTCAAACAGGATTCACATTTCATCCATCACACACGTGCTCATCTGCTGCTTCAGTGGCTCCCATCTGGATTATTTACATACAACACCATCCCCTCCAACATCATCCTCCTCCCCACTGCTAAAGCTTTCAGATTAGCTGACTGCAGCAATCCATCCCCCAGTGCCACCCTTGAAGCTGCTCTAGTGGAAGATGCCCCTGCAGTGGGTCAGAACTGGATGAGCTCTAAGGTCCCTGCCAACCCAAACCATTCTATGTGCCAGGGAGCCTCAGCCCGCAGCCCCTCATTGTCCCCACCATCAAGCAGTGAAGTTCCCTAGGGAGCTGGGAGGATGGAGCAAAAGGGAAATAAGACATATTGTGATCGGGTCCTGTTTGTCTTTAAGGGCATTAAAAGAGAAGAATTCTTCCATTTCCCAGCTGCCTTAGGCAGGTGTTTGTGGGAGACAGTCCCAGAAGCTTAGTGGGCCATCTGTCCTGCAGATGATTGCTACAGGGAAACATTAGAAGCGAAAATAAAACCCATATGCACACATACACACACAGAACCACCAAAAATCCCAGAGTAAATCAACCCTTGCTACTGGAAAAGAGCAGCTTTGAAAAGCCAGGAGAAGCCTTCAACCAAACAGGGTGATAGAGGTCAGTTTTACACTAAATCTGATGCGACCCTACATTTCATCTCTGCCTCACACCTGAGGCATGACACTGTCTCAAGAAAGTGTATGCTTGAGCAGGGAAAAGCCCAGACCCACAAGGCTGACCCACAACACTGCTGAATACTGGATTGTCATAGTGCAATGGGGCTTCTTGGGAGGTTGGAACTCTATGATCTTAAGGTCCTTTCCAACCCAAACCATTCTATGGTTCTGTGATTCTTGGTACTTCTTCCCCCAACAACCTCAAACCTCCCCAGATTTCCTTTCCACCCTGTCCCCAAGCATCTGATAACTTCCTTTCACAAACCTAGGAAGCTGGTACCCTTCTTTCCCAACAATCCCCCACCTATGTCCCTTTCCATAACTCAAGGGAAAACCATAAGAGATTACAATCTGGGAGATTCAGTCCCCTCAGTGACACAGGAGCACTGTACACTGTCACCGAGGCAGTGATTTCAAAGCCATTCTTGATGGATTCCCCCCTAAAAGAAGATGACCTACACCTCCAGCAACAGTATTCCTATGCCTGCAGCCCAGTAGCTTACTCAGCACAATGCAACTACTGCAACTTATAAGCTACCAATATGCCTACAACCTTGAAATGGAAGATGAAATGAGGCTGTGCTCCTCCAGCACCCCAAGAGCAGGTTCCCAACCTGTTTCATGGGTGGATTTGCAGCCTCAGCTTGAGAAGAGCTGCTGCAGGATGCCCCAGCACCATCAGCTTCTTTTTCTTCCATTTCTATAGAAAACAAAGGGTTCCTCTTCTCCCACAGTCTGTCATGATATGACCAGATGTGCAGTCTAGGCTCACACAAAGGGAGGGGAAAAGGGCAGACGAATACATTTGCATTAAGCAGGGAGATTGCCTTTTGGTCTAGCCAGGATATTTCCTGAGTCCCAGGCACACAGGCACTCACAGGACTCATGCCTCAGCTTGTGTAAGCAGTAAAGTTTGCTTCCATGGCACAGATGTCCTGTAAATCAGCCTTGATAGGAAATGGCTCAAGTGACCATCAATCAGCAGCTGAGTTGTCACCAGCCCCCACGTTGTAAAGCATTCCCGTAGTTACATCCTGTAAGAGCATATTAATTATATCTAATTTGTAACTAATAATATGTTAATAAATCAAGCCTATATTATTTCACTATAAATATACAAATAAAGGGTATGGTTTGATTCATGTGGACTCACTTTGAGTCCCATCTCTTGAGGCTGGTTACTAAAGACAACTCATGCTGCTGGAATAGACAGAATACTTTGGCATTCACCTATATTTTAGCCTCAGGGGTGAAAAGAGCCACAGGGAGCAGTCTGTTGCAGACTTCCTGCTGGGAGATGCCATTAACAGCCTTGACTTCTGCTTCTAGGTTAACCATTTATTGTGTTAGGAACCAGTGTCACCTTTCAACCCTCAGCCTTGGATCACCACTCAGGCCCATCGCTGCAGCTTGGGAACACATCCTTGCATCCTCCCTAAGCAGTTTGCCAACATTAAGCCCTTCTCATTCGTATACAATTACAACTCCAGGTTTATCACTCCCCTGTGGCTCTTTAAGCTTGAAATAAGCACAGGCACGCAGACAAGCTCGGGAAGTTGCTTAGCAAAAACACGATGGAGAAGGCCTCCCAACAAAACACATACTTCAACCACTTGGTAGCCTATCCCCAAGTGGCAAAAATCTCCCTCTGACACCTTGGAGGTTTCTATAGCAACAGGTTAAGGCTAAAAATGTTAGATGCAAAATTCCCCCGTGCTGGGCAGACAGGAGCTGGGGAGGACAGATTTAGAAGGGAAACTTCTAAATAGCTGCTGACAGAGCTAGCACAGGCTCTGCTAACTCATGAGTCGGTGGTGAAACAGCGTAAAAGAAATTCCTAGCAACCTGCTAGCAGTGCAGGTACACAGGGATGTGTCTATGGAGCACCAGCCTGAAGCATCCCCCAGAGCCACAGCATCCCCCAGAATAAGGAGGAGCCACACGTATCCTGCATCGAAGCACTTGGAAGTGGAAAGAGCTGTTTTCAGGAGCAGAATTACAGCCCAGCATCCAGAGTAGGAAGCCTGAAAGCCAAAATACTTGGCTTATAGGATAATAATACTTGGATTATAGGTTTGATAGTGCTGCTGCCTCTCCATGCAATGGAGACCGGGTCATGTAACTGCTCATACCTCTGGTTTCCCAATTGTATATGAAAAGAAAACCTACCACCCAACTTCAAACTCATGCTCAGCAGGTA